CTGCTGGCTTTGAATTCTTCTTCATTATCTTGATTGCTGCTACTTCCAGGGACGTTTTTCTTTAGATCGTCATAAATTCTCTTGGCTTTGTGACAGATAATATCTTGGGTTGTTACGTCACCTTTCACCTGCCTGTCCTTAATCCAAATCGCTAATAGCCTCTCCATTTCCTCGTGGATTGAAGACCTATGTTTTTCATGAAATAGTTCTGATACTCCTTTGGCTACTTTGGCTGATTTGATTGCATCCTTATTTGTCAAAATGGTGAAAATGGTGGTCTTGCTGGGGCCAAACTCTTTGACGAGGTCACACTGTTTTACCCCACATTCACTCCTTCTAATTATTTCCTGTTTCATTTCAACAGAAATCACCTTCCTGCTTTTTTTAGAAGCCATGATATAAAAAAAATATTGAGTTTAACTTAAAAGGACGACTGCCGTGATACGTGCGTGATTTAATTCGTAATGAAGAACGATTGCTGCGATACGTGCTTAAGTTAAGCGCAGTGACTAACGACTGCCTGCAGTGCCTGCGCGGAAGGATGCAATACATCGGCAGCGATCGTGGAAGCTCGGGCGAAGCAGTCGTGGAAGCTCGGGCGACTTCGTTGTGTGAAACGAAGTTCGTTGTATGAATCATGAAATGAAGTTCGTTGTGTGCAGCGTTCGCTGTGCGAGGCGTTCTTTATGCGAGGCACCACTGTATAATGATCACATTAACAGGTGGCAGAATTCTGTATTGCAAATCACAGACTACATTTCTAATCCTATCTAATAAAAGAGAATCATGCAAATTGACCATACCTCCACTACACCCACCAGCCAATCAGTGTGAATATGCAAATTAACCCAACGAATACTGTGGCAGCCACAGAGCTGGAACGAACAGGAGGCTTGGGTTTCCCCTGGCGATGGAGGAAGCCAAGCTTCTCATCTGCCCTGGCTCCCCTGGCCAGCCCTGGCTACAAGGTTTCAATTATAGAAGATAAAAGGATTCCAGATACCTGCTTCCAGCCAGCCCTGGCCTCCACTCAAGGAGGTGCTGGAAAAAAGAAAAAAGGAGAGGCTGGGAGCTTGGGTCACCAGGGGGTGTGTGCCACCCTGCAAACAGTCATCAGCTCCTCACCTAGGCTGGCCAGGCCCCAGCGGGGAACCCCACCCTGAAGGGGGTGTGGCCAGCCTAAAAATGGCCCTCAGCCCCTCACCCAGACTGAACATGCCCCCCCGCAATGGGGAACCTTAATCCATGGGGACGTATATGGCCTGCAAACCACCACAGGCCCCTCACCCAGCCGCCCCACACCCCAAGGAAAACCCCACCCTGATTTGAGACACTCTTCAGGGCAAACCAGCTGGCCCCCACCTGTGCACTGGGCGTCTATCTATACTAATAAAAGGGTAATATGCTGATTAGACTAAGAGACCTTCCAGGAGACCATCTGGACATTCCTCTGGACAAACCATGGTGGCGGGGCCGAGGTAAAGGCTGTTAGGGGCCAAGAGGGGAGGGCAGTTGTGAGTAATCAGGCTGGTGGGAGGCAGGGTCATAGGGGGTAAGCAGACCAGCAGGGGGGCCACTTGGGAGCGAGTAGGCTGTCAGTGGGGGTCAGTTGGAGGTGATCAGGACAGTGAGGGGGGGTAAGCCTGGAGTGAGCAGGCCAGTGGGGGGACAGTTGGGGGTGAGCAGGTTGGCAGGCAGAGTGGTTAGGGGCAATCAGGCAGTCAGGTGAGCAGTTAGGAGCCAGCAGTTCCGATTGCAAGAGGGATATCCAAGAGGGATATCCGACTGCCGGTTTAGGCCCGATCCCTGTAAACCAGCAGTAGAAAATCCTTCAAGGGGTCCCAGATTGGAGAGGGTGCAGACCAGGCTGAGGAACACCCCCACCTCATACACGAATTTCATGCACTGGGCCACTAATCTATACAAATAAAAGGATAATATGCTAATTAGACCAGACATCCATCCGGATGTTCTTCCGGACAAAGCCACAGTGGTGGGGGCTGAGGTAGAGGCCATTAGGGACCATTCGGCCAGCAGCAGAGGGCACTTAGGGGCAACCAGACTGACAGGGGAAGGCACTTAGGGATGAGCAGACTGGCAGGGGAGGACAGTTAGGGGCGGTCAGGCTGCCAGGCAGAGGCAGTTAGGGGTGATCAGGCAGGCAGGGGAGCAGTTAAGGGTGATCAGGCCTGCAGAGAGACTTGCTTAGGGGTGATCAGGAAGGTCCAGCAATGTTATAGCCTCAAAAGCTATAGAGCCAAAATATATAAACAACTCTCACAACTTTAAACCAAAAGTCAATATGATTAAAAAATGGGTAGAGGACCTGAATAGACATTTCCCAAACAGGACATAAAGATGCTCAATAGATATATTAAATTATGTTCAACTCATCCATCATCAGAGAAATGCAAATTGACACACCATGAAATACCACCAAATAGGGTGACCATAATCCATAACTCAAAAAACGAAAAGAATCACAAGTGAAGTAGAGAAATAAGAACATTGATGCACTCTCAGCAGGATTATAAAGACATTGGTGCAGCCACTAATAATACACGATGGAAGGTTTTCCAATATTTACAAATAAGTACCAGGTAACACAGCGATTCCATTTCTGGGGTTTATATAGCGAACACAAATTCAAAAAGACATAGCCACACATATATCCACTTCAGCCCTATTGCAAATAATGAAGATATTGGGCTGGAAAAAAAAGGGCTATTTTTATAATGATGCTGTTCCATCTCTATATATAAAAGCCTAAGTGACTATTATGACTGGTTGGTTGGCAGCTCAACGGGTCGTTATGATGCACACTGACCAGGGAGCAGAAGATGAATGCAGTTAGTGTGCTTCCACAGCCATCCTCCTGCAGCCGGCAAACCTCCCTCAAACCCTCCCCCGAGCCAGCTGGCCCTGATCGGGAGTACAGCAATACCCAGCCAGGCCCAGGAACCACATACCCTTGCATAAATTATTGCACCAGGCCCCTCGTTCAAAATAAATTAAAAGACTTCATTTGATTTGACATGGAAGAAGACAAAATTTATATCTCACCTCATCTCCTTTAAGATATGTCTCACTATGTGTTTATTCCAGAAATTACACAATAGCTGCAAATATAACTTCCATTTTATTAAATTTAAAACTACATTAATTTCATACATTTCACATGTTTGAAAGGCAAATACATAACCAAGTTTTTATTTCAATCCATTCTATTAAAATGGAAACTCCCAATGTATCAACTCAAACATTAAAGAAAAAAAGAACAATACATATGGCATTCTCAGCAGACAAAAAAACAAGAAACCACAGGATGAGAAAATATATTTATAAAAGTCAACATAGCGCAGCTGGCATGGCTCAGCAGTTGATCATCCTCCTATGAACCAGGAAGTCATGGTTTGATTTCTGATTAGGGCTCAGTACCAAGTTTCTGGCTCGATCCCAAATAGGGGGTGTGCAGAAAGCAGATCAACAGTGATTCTCTCTGATCATTGATGTTTCTATCTCCCACTCCCTCTCTAACATCAATAAATATATATATTGCCGAGACCGGTTTGGCTCAATGGATAGAGCGTTGGCTTGGGACTGAAGGGTCCCGGGTTCAATTCCGGTCAAGGGCATGTGCCTTGGTTGTGGGCATATCCCCAGTGGGAGGTGTGCAGGAGGCAGCTGATCGATGACTCTCTCTCATCGATGTTTCTAACTCTTTCTCTCCCTTCCTCTCTGTACAAAATCAATAAAATATATATATTTTAAAATAAATAAAATAAATAAATAAATATATTAATAAAAAAGTCAACATGTATGGGACGATTATGCAAAACATAGAAAGAAGCCTTCAAACTCAACATGCACAAAAGAACCAACATGAAAAGGGCCAAACACCTTAACGCACAGCACTACAAAATACATACACATAGAAAATCAGTGTGACAAGATCCTGCACGTCTTATGTCACTAAGGAAATGCACATTATAACAATGAGAAGGAACAAACAGCACTGGCAAGCAACACTCAACCACCACTGAACAGGTCAGAATCCAGAACACTGACCCCACCAAATACCTTTGTGATGTGGAGCAACTGGAATTCCCAATCACTGCTGCTGAAAATGCCAAATGCTACAGCCCTTTGGGGAGATGCTATGGATGTTTTTATAAAATTAAATATACACGGAGTAATTGGGCTCCTGATTCTTTATATATACATACATATATATATATATATATATTTTTTTTTATTTTATTGATTTTTTACAGAGAGGAAGGGAGAGAGAGACATGGACCAGTTGCCATCTGCACACCCCCTCCAAGGATGTGCCCGCAGCCAATGTACATGCCCTTGACAGGAATTAAACCAGGGACCCTTATCCACTGAGCTAAACCAGTTTCAGCCTTTTTTTTATTTATATATATATATATATATTAACTTTTAATATATTTTATGGATTTTACACAGAGAGGAATTGAGAGGGACAGAGAGTCAGAAACGTCCATGAGAGAGAAACATCGACCAGCTGCCTCCTGCCCCCCACTGGAGGTGTGCCCGCAACCAAGGTACATGCCCTTGACCAGAACCAAACCTGGGACCCTTCAGTCCTCAGGCCGACGCTCTATCCACTGAGCCAAACTGGCCAAGATCCCAATTAGTTCGTTTTAAAAATATATGTTTATTTTTCTTTCAAAGAGGAAAAGAGACAGAGAAACATCGATGAGAGAGAATCATTGATCTGTAGCCTTGCATGCTCCGTACTGGGGAACAAATTGGCAACTTGGGCATTGGCCCTGGATCAGAATCTAACCTGGGACCATTCAGTCCGCAGGCCACCAAGCCTATCCACTGAGCCAAACCAGCTAGGGCCCAAATTTGTTCCTTGAGAGCAAAAATGTACCATAGAAAGCAGAAGCGCCTTAGAGATGTCATAATAATAAAGGAAATAAAATCGTGGGAGTGGAGTAGGAACTCCGGAAGGAAGTCATCCTCACCCAGGGAGGCCAGGTTGCTGTAGTTCTCCAACATCACATCCATGTACAACTTCCGCTGAGCTGGGTCCAGGCACTCCCACTCCTCGTGAGAGAAATCTATGGCCACGTCCATGAAAGTCAACGGTTCCTGAAAGAAAAGACAGTTACCAAGAAGTCACCAGGAGTTCATAATGTCACCCAACATGAAAACGGTGTTAGAAGTTTGGACCTAGGGGAATATACTGAATCATCCAATAAGACCACTTTGTCAGTAACATTTTCTGATGTGTTTTCAACACTGACAAATGAGGAAGACACATGTACACAGATGCACAGTACAGATTTCCCTTTACAAGAAAATAAACTTTAAAATTAAAGCATAGGCCTAGCTGGTTGGCTCAGTGGATAGAGTATAGGCCTGCACACAGATTCTGATCCAGGTTCTCATGTGGGGCCTGTGTTTCCACATGTGTCAAAAGCTCATTTTTTTGCTTCTGATGTCAATGTTTCAGATGCTATACTTATGAATACACAGAAAAAGAAAATAATAGAGGGAAAAATTGATACAGAACTTTGAACTAAAAGAGTCATTAATGGAATTTACAGTTCTCATGGAATAGGACTCATATGAACCATAATCCTAGCGAAAAATTTACCATGAGTAATCTTACAAGATTATTCTAGCTGAAACCGGTTTGGCTCAGAGAATAGAGCGTCAGCCTGTGGACTGAAAGGTCCCAGGTTCAATTCAGGTCAAGGGCATGTACCTTGGTTGCGGGCTCATCTCCAGCGAAGGTTGTGCAGGAGGCAGCTGATCGATGTTTCTCTCTCATCGATGTTTCTGACTCTCTATATCTCTCCCTTCCTCTCTGTAAAAAATCAATAAATTATATATATATATATTTTTTTAATATATTTTATTGATTTTGTACAGAGAAGAAGGAAGAGAGAGAGAGAATCAGAAACATTGATGAGAGAGAGTCATCGATCAGCTGCCTCCTGCACACCCCCCACTGGGGATATGCCCGAAACCAAGGTTTATACATGCCCTCGACCGGAATCGAACCCGGGACCCTTCAGTCCCCAAGCCGACGCTCTATCCATTGAGCCAAACCGGTTTCGGCAATAAATTATATTTTTTAAAAAGAAAGAAATAAGATTATTCTGCCTGCTCCAGCTGGTGTGTCCTAGTGGTTGAGTGCTGGCCCATGAACCTAGAGGTCAGATTCGATTCCCGGGAGCCCAGATACATGAAGGGGGGTTAAGAGAAAGAGGGGTCCTGGTAAACTCAAGGCAATAAGGGGGTAAGTACTTCAGATAGACCGGTTCAAAGTAGAAGAATTGGAGGAAGTGGGTGGAGGCACAGAAAGGGGGGTTAGGAATGACAGAGCAGAGGGAGAAGCAGCACTGAGAGTCAGCCAGCAGCGGGTAACAGGCAGCAGAGGGGACACAGGCGTGGGAAGGGAAAGAGAAATAGATCAACAGATGTTCAAGGAAAAGCAAACACAGGCTGTGACACAGGACACAACTTTTACCTGAGAAGCAGCCATTTAGTTCTGGTCCTGATTGGGGTCTGGGTTGCTTTCTCAGGTGACAATATGTTGAGGAGTCACAGCCTGTTCATCAGCTCAGCTCAAAATCAGTCAGAAGGACCTGGAAATGAGGAAAAGATGACCCCCTCCTGTCCTTGGTCACAGGAGAGAGCCAGCAGCAATTAGCTCCCACATGGAGACCACACTGTGAGGGGTTTTATTCTGTCTTCGTGTGTTTGTCTTTCCAAAGACTTCCACAACCTCCTACAGCAGTGAGCACATGTACTCTCAACTGTATCCTCAAACCCAACAAAACACCCCTAAATTCCCCTGAAAAAGCCTGCCCTAAGGCCCTGACGCAGCATCTTTAACCAGTTCTCTCCCGGGGCCTGTGAGGCTCCCCCAGAGCTGTTTTCAGTAGCGCTGGATACCGACGTCACACCCAGCACACCTGAGACCTCTGGGTAGTGGGAGGGGGTGGAATCAGAACTTGTACATGTGCAGGTTTCCTCCCCCCATTCCCAGAAAGTTACAGAGAACAGGTCTTCATGCTAAAGCCTTTGGGGAAAGTTAGCTCCTGAAATGGGTTCATCCAATGACTTCACCATGAATAGAGGGGCCCCATGGGAGCCAATTTCCAGTTCAATCCAGTCCATCCTTCAATATTTTCACAGAATGGCCGAAACCGGTTTGGCTCAGTGGTAGAGCATCAGTCTGTGGACTGAAAGGTCCCAGGTTCGATCCCGGTCAGGGGCATGTACGTTGGTTGCGGGCACATCCCCGGCATGGGGTGCGCAAGAGGCAACTGGTCGATGCTTCTCTCTCATCGACGTTTCTAGCTCTCTCTCTGTCTCCCTTCCTCTCTGTAAAAAAATCAATAAAATATATTTTTAAAATATATATATTTTCACAGAATGAATAAGAGGGACTTGGTGGCTCACAGACACTAATTCAACAGATCACATGAAGGGAAGGAAAGAGGTGTTGCACATTAGGCCAGCTCACACAACTAGCTTTGGATGGTTGAAGTCACTGACATCCTGCCCTACCCCATCTCACGCGATGGAGAGTGTGTCCACCTGCAGAATGAAGGGTTTCAGATTCAAGTCCGGTCAAGGGCACATGCCTGGGTTTCAGGTTTGACCCCCGGTAGGGGGCGTGCAGGAGGCAGGTAATCAGTGATTTTCATCATTAAGATTTCAATCTCTCTCTCCCTCTACTTTCCACTCTCTGAAGTCAATAAAAATATATTATAAAAACAAAAAAAAGACCGCCCTGACTGGTTTGGCTCGGTGGGTAGAGCCCCAGCCTGTGGCATGAGGGTTCCCCAGTTGGGTTTCGGTTCCAGTCAAGGGCATATACCTTGGTTGCAGGCACATCCCCAGTGAGAGGTGTGCAGGAGGCAGCTGATACATGTTTCTAACTCTCTATCCCTCTCCCTTCCTCTCTGTAAAAAAAATCAATAAAATGTTTAAAAAAAAAGACCTCTGACATCCTTAACAAGTGCATGCTGAGATTGCCTCATATTGCTAAATACCAAAGGATGTCTCGATGTATGATGGTCAGTATCTAAATTGGATTCAGGGCTCGGTATCTAAATTACACAAAATGTTTAAAAACAAAAACAGTTAGGGCTGTTTCTTTTCAATGTAATGATTTCCAGGTTTAAAGCTTTAAAAAGGTGGAGGCCACCTTATATTAAAAAAAAAGAATTACCAGAGGTGAGTATGAGATATCATCAATGCTGATTTCAGAGTTAATGACCATTTACATGAATTAAGTATCAGAGGTAGAAAAACAAATTCATGGATCTAAAAAAAAAAAAAAAAAAGATTGATGCTTCTAATATTTCTTGATAAAGCATCATGTGAGGGCAGACTCAGCCATTTCTTGTTCCAGGTCACCTCCTTCTTGCCATCCCAGCAAATGACAAGGAACCCATTAGGAACATACCAGTCTCTCTCTCTGTGTGAATAAAAGTTGCAAATGGAAGGAAATAAGTATGCAATTTGCAAGCCTTATGAACTGGAGATTTGAAATTCTCAGTCAAATCTGTTTCAATAATTCAGTGGTTCAATTAATCATGTAAAGACATAGCCTATATCAAACTTAACCATCCATATGCCATCAGCTCACCCCTCCCACTGCTATGTATTTCTGTCTACGGGTCTGTCTCTGTCTCCCTGTTCTCTTTCTCTCCACTGCTGTCCTTTCCTGTGTCCCCCTCCCCTCCCTGATCTTTCTCCCATTTTCTCTCTGTCTGTCCCTACACCTGGACCATGAACCTCCTGAAACCTATTTCCCTTCCGGGGCGCTCTCTCCTGGTATCTCTGCTCCCATCTCCACACACGTCTGCGTCTTTCCCTCCCCGCGCCCGAGTCCCCGCCGCTGCCTGTTAGTCTGTGCTGCCCCCCACAGCTGTCTGCCTCTGTGCTGCTCCCCTTCGGCTCCCCCATCCTCTGTGGACCCCTCTCCGCCCTCCTCCTCCCCCGGGTCTGTCTCTCCCTCCCTCTCCTGCCCCCCAGCCCGGCCCCCGCCCCGTCACCGCCTCACAAAGCCCTCCCTGGGGCAGGTCCCTCTTCCGGGGACACCGCGTTCTCCCCGAGCCCACCCCCTGGCACTGGCCCCCTGGCACTCAGACCTGATTAGTGGGGGGCCTGGGAAGGCGGGCGCAGAGCCCCAGGCCGGGCCATCCGGGCTCTTTGGGCCGGAAGCGCCGGGCGGGGGAGGGCAAAGGGCGGGAACCACTGACCAGACCTCCAGCCCCGCGGGGGCACCGGCGGCCCCGGGGACGGTTTTCGGCGGGAAAACCACGCGGCGGGCGGGCCCACAACCACAGGCGGACAGACCGCGGGCCGGGCCTCAGTTTCCCCCAAAGGAACGCGGCGCCTCCACTGCGCAGCCCCGGGACGAGCACTCACCGCCGGGAGGGGCTCCGGGCGGGGCTCCCACACGGACTTCAGAGCCCGCAGCGCCCTCAACCCGCCCTGCGGGGAGGGGCCGGGAGCAGCGGCTTTAAAGCACAGACACCGCCTCAGGGAGCCGCCACCGGCCCCTCCGCAGCCGCTTCCGGCTGCCAGGACTGCGCATGCGCCTCCCTGCGGGGGGCGGGGCCTGAGCGGAGCGGCCTGGGCTCCTCCCCTCCTCCCACAGGGACAGCCCTTCCTGGGGGAGTTCCCGTCATTGTTGGGGTTTGGCTGGTGGCGCGGCTGTGACAGGATTCACAAGGAGAGAAGAGACAGGAGCGGAGAGGGCGGGGATTTTGCTTCTTTAAAGGGAGGAGAGGGCCCGGTGCCCTCTGATGGCACGAGGCTCCCCACATAGACGGGCTGTTCTTCTGTTAGGGTGCCAGCGAGTAAAGCCAGCTGTGGCAGAAGCATAAAGAGGGGAGGAGGAAATCTGGAATTCACACAGAAGTTTCCAGATCCCAGAGGCTGTGCTCAGAGCTATTGGCTGGCCTGCCCTTCAGCTGCACATTCCCAGGGAGGTGTCTTTCCCAGTATCTTCACATGCCGGGGAACACATTCTCACAGGGGAGTTAGAGAATTCAAAAGGTGGCCAGGCCTAAACCGGTTTGAATCAGTGGATAGAGGGCAGGGCTGCGGACTGAAGGGTCCCAGGTTGGATTCAGGTACGTTGGTTGTAGGAACATACCCAGTAGGAGGCAGCTGATTGGTGTTTCTAACTCCCTATTCCTCTCCTTCTTTCATCTCTAAAAAAAAAAAATCAATAAACTACATTTTTTAAAATATATTTTATTGATTTTTTGAGAGAGGGAGGGAGAGGGATAGAGCTAGATACATCGACCAGCTACCTCCTGCACATCCCTCAATGGGGATGTGCCCAATACCAAGGTACATGCCCTTGACCGGAATCGAACCTGGGACCCCTCAGTCCACAGACCGACGCTCTATCCACTGAGCCAAACCAGCCTCGGCCAATAAAATAATTTAAAAAACAAATAAAAAGCCAAAACTGGTTTGGCTCAGTGGATAGAGAGTTGATCTGCAGACTAGGAGGTCCTAGGTTCGATTCCGGTCAAGGGCATGTAAGAATGTACCTTGGTTGCGGGCACGTCCCCAGTAGGAGCTGTGCAAGAGGCAGGTAATCGATGATTCTCTCTCATCAATGTTTCTAACTCTCTTCCTCTTCCTCACTCTCTCTTCCTCTCTATAAAAAAATCAATAAAATATATTTAAATATATATATATATCTAGTTTCTCTAATCATTGTGTGATTCTTTAGGTTGGCCCATGCAAAGGAACTGGAAGTTACCAGCTTGTACAAATTTACAACAGTACACTGGAGAAGGAATGAATGTGGGTCTTTCATTTCAATCCCAATGCTGTCAATATACAAAATAACTTCTGATGAAAAATAAAAATTTTTAACTGAAAATCTGCCATGGTCTTGGGATTCCTCTTGGAAGAATGACCAATATCTAGCAACATTTAAGTAATTGACAATACAAACTGTTTAACACTGACTGAGTCCATCCTAATAAAGAAAATAATGAGGAAACAGAGAAATTCTTATGAAAATTAGAACAAGAAAAATTCCAGTTATAAAGCACACAAAAGCAAATTTATTATGTTATATGATAAAAATTAACATTCATATTTAAAATCTACATTCTAGCATGAAAACATGAATGGTCACCTACCTACTTCATGAATATAAAGCAATATATTGCCAAATTCTGAAGTCAGTTATTGCATTAGTAAATTCTAAATTGTGAAACAGAAGCTACAGGGGCCAAAGGGCTCATGTGGGAGAGAAAAGGTTTAGATGCCATTGTTAAAGAGCTGCATAAAAGAGTATCAACTGAGTAGAAAAATGAGAGAAAAGAACAATGTAACACAGAGGATATGAAATAGGAAATAAAAGAAATAAACTTAATTTTCTGAGTTCTGCTAGGAGAGGTGTCCTCTCAAGGCAGGGTGCATGGCAGTTCTGCATCCTGGGTTTGAAACATCTACACTGAACTACAACATCACTGGTAAAGGATTTGAGAGAGAAGCGAGTGAGAGAGAGAAACAGCAATGATAACAGAAAATCGTCGATCAGCTGCCTCTTGTGTGAACACTACTGGATATCTAGCCCATAAACAGGTCATGAGCCGTGAAAGGGAAATGAATGCTGACTTCCTGGTTCATGGGCTGACGCTCTATCACGAGCTTCCCAGTGCAGGCAGCTCCACTGCTTATCAAAGTCACACACAAGGACATTTATAAGTGTTCCCTCTAGTAAAACAAGGATAATTAAAAATTATGCCTAATTCTTCACATTTGTAAGGCTTTCCTTCACAATGAATTATCTGATGTTAAATGAGACTCCATTGACAAGCAAAGGATTAATCTCGCTTGTTACATTTTCAAGGTTTCTCTCCAGTATAAACTCTTTGATGTACAAGAAGGAAAACACACTGACTAAAGGTTTCCTTACTGTTTTTTCTTCTTTCAAATTATGTTTTTATTGATGTCAGACAGGAAAGGAGAGTATGGGATATAAAGATCAATGATAAGAGTGAATCATGGATCATTAGCTCCTGCCTGCCCCACATAGATTTATTCCACAACCAGGGCCTGAGCCCTGACCAGGAATTGCACCCTGAAGTTGTGGTTGGTGGTGAAAGGTAAACCACCAAGGCATGCCAGAAAGTGCTTTCTCACATTTTCTACAGTGTCAAGTTTCCTCCAGTATAAAACCTCTGATGTTCAGTAAATTTTCAGCTGTGGGTAAAGGCTCCAGCCTATTCTCATTTGTAAATTCTCTATTAGGAAGTCTCTCAAGTATAATAATATCTGAATGACTTTTCAATACTTTTTTTACATTTTTCACATTCATTAGGCTTTTTTTCTAGAGAGATTTCTGTGATGTTCAGTAAATTCTCACTGCTGGTCAAGAACTTATAAAACTCCGCACATCTCTAAGACTTCTCTCAACTATAAAATCTATGCTGTCTATTATGGCAAGAAGAGTAAATAAAAGCTGTCACACTTTCTACATTTAAAAGACTTCTCTCCAGTATCTCTCTGTTGTGTAGTAAATTTTGAACATCTGCCAATGGATTTGCCACATTCTCGACATTTATAAGGTTTCTCACCTGTGTGAATTCTCTAAGTGTGAGAAATGTGTAATGGCTTTGCCACATTCTCTACATGTATAAGGCTTCTCTCCAGTGTGAACGCTCTTATGATAATTTAGGAATGATGCTACACTGAAGATTTTGCCACATTCTCTACATGTATGGTATGAGACGTCTCTCCAGTGTGAACTCTGAAATGCAGTAAGTGCTGAGGCCCTTCTAACGGCTTTGCAACATACTCTATATTTACCAGGCTTCTCTCCAATATGAACTTTTATGCGGAGTAAGTACTGAGGACCATCTAGACTTTGCCATATTCTACACATTGATAAGGTTTCTCTCCAGTATGAACTCTCTGATGCGTACTGAGGTGTGAGGACCATCTATAGGCTTTGCCACATTCTCCACATTTATAGGGCTTCTCTCCAGTATGAACTCTCTGATGCTTAGTACGTTCTGAGGATCTTCTAAAGGCTTTGCCACATACTCTACATTTAAAAGGCTTCTCTCCAGTATGAACTCTCTTATGAAGAGTAAGTTCTGAGGACCATATAAAGGCTTTTCCACATTCTCTACATTTATTAGGTTTCTCTCCAGTATGAACTCTCTGATGTGTAGTAAGGTGTGAGTACCATCTATAAGCTTTGCCACATTCTCCACATTTATAAGGCTTCTCTCCAGTATGAACTCTCTGATGCGTAGTAAGGTGTGAGGACCTTGTAAAGGCTTTGTCACATTCTCCACATTTATACGGCTTCTCTCCAGTATGAACTCTTTTATGTGGGGTAAGTTCTGAAGACCATCTAAACTCTTTACCACATTCTCTACATTTATAAGGCTTCTCTCCAGTATGAACTCTCTGATGCCTAGTAAGGTGTGAGGACCATCTAAAGGCTTTGCCACATTCTCTACATTTAAAAGGCTTCTCTCCAGTATGAATTCTCTGATGCGTATTAAGGTGTGAGGACCATCTAAAGGCTTTGCCACATTCTCTACATTTGAAAGGCTTCTCTCCAGTATGAACTCTCTGGTGCTTAGTAAGGTCTGAGGAGCTGCAATAGGATTTGCCACAATCTGTACAGTAATAAGGTTTTTCTCCAGTATGAATTCTCAGATGAATACTGAGGGATGAACACCGGCTAAAGGCTTTGTCACATTCTATACATTTGTAAGACTTTTCTCCTATATGATTTCTATGATGTTGAATATGTCTTGAGGACTGACTAAAGCCTGTTTTATTTTCTCCAAATTTGTAAAATTTTGCAATAGTGTGAAATTTTCCCTCATGTACAATAAGAGATGAATGACATTTAAAGGCTTTGCCACATGCTTTACATTTGTAAGGCTTCTCTCCAATATGAATTTTCTGATTTAGAGTACAACCTGAAGGCCAATTAGATGTTTTACCAAAAACTTTACATTGATAAGGTTTTTCTTCATTATGGATTTCTGTCATTTTATTTAGACTGAGTATTTGACTACCACAAAGAATCCATTTATCAGCCTCCTCCCCAGAATGAGTATTCTCTTGTTTTGTGTAATTTGAAGACTGCTGAAAAGACTGGACACATTGACTTCCTTTGTGTGTCTTCTCCACAATAAGAATAACCTGACGTGTATTGTGATTGAATATTTGGTCAATGACTTCTCCACTTTTATAATGGTCCTCTGTAAGCTCCCTTCTCCACTGATGATTAAGAAATGACTCTTGCTTAAAGTTTTTCCAATGTTCAATCCATTGATAACTGCTCTCTCCATTATACGTACTCTAGTGATAATGGAAGATAGAAAAGCCTTCAGTGACAGTTACAATTTCATTAAACATGTACACTTGTTCCATAAAAACCACTTTGTGATACTCATTAAACCAAGAGAGTTTAATCCTCATGGGGGGCATGCAGGAGGTAGCTGATCAATGATTCTCTTTTATCATTGATGTTTCTCTATCTCCCTCTCACTATCTCTATGAATTTAATAAAAATATATTTAAAAGTGATACTCATTAAACCAAGTGGACTGCAAACTGGGGTGTCCCAGGTTCGATTCCAGTTAAGGGTATGTACCTTGGTTGGGGGCACATCCCTAGAAGGGAGTATGCGGGAGGCACCTGAACAATGTTTCTCTCTCATCAATGTTTCTGACTCTCTATCCCTCTCCCTCTCTTTAAAAAATCAATGGTGTGTGTGTGTGTGTGTGCGTGTGTGTGTGTGTGTAAAGTAATAATATGATTTCCAAATTGGGTATATTTAAATTATATAGGTACATTATAAATCTGTACATTTTAGAAATGATTGTATAAAAGTATAATCCCACACTACAGTTTAAACAATTCAAAGGATTATTTACACTACAGACTAATTCCTAGTTTTCTAGATTTTCTTTTCAAGAATGTATAACAGTAAAAAGTTGATTTCAACTTTAACCTGAAGAAACACACTGATCTGCCAATGGAACTGACTTTAATATGAGAGCTTTCCCAAATGCATAATACACATGACCTGTATGGGTAACAACAATTTTATTATGATAACTATTCCAAATTAGTTCTGTTTATATTAATTCCCTCACTTTTCATCACATTCTTCCTCAAATTACAAGGCTTTCAGTAGTGTATTATACATTTGTATCTTACCAGTATTATTTCAGAGAATAAATCTTGTATTCCAGGTGTTGGAATAAAGGCCTGGTCATCTTCAGATGACATACCTGAAAAATAACAAATTTTTAGTTTTGACAATCAGGTGAGTACACGTTGAAGTTACCAGTAACTATAGGCCAAATGACAGTTTTAGGTTCTCTAAGACGCAATAAAGGATTCAAGGAAAGCTCAAGATAGGTACAATGAGGAAAACTCACATCAAAGAGGGACAATGAGTTGCTTATATTTGCCAATGAAACCTGCTCAAACACACTAGCACACAATGGCAATATTATCAGAACACTCCCACCTTCCAGGTTCTTCAATGGAGAGAGAGAGAGAGAGATATGATGGAAGTGCATGTTCAATGATCCCGTTTTGCAGCATCTTGAACAACAAATGTCTGTTGTGCATGACACAGACTATGATCAAAAAGACAGTACACGCCGAAACCGGTTTGGCTCAGTGGTAGAGCATCAGTCTGCGGACTGAAAGGTCCCAGGTTCGATTCCGGTCAAGGGCATGTACATTGGTTGCAGGCACATCCCCAGTAGGGGGTGTGCAAGAGGCAGCTGGTCGATGTTTCCTCTCTCATGGATGTTTCTACCTATCTCTCTCCCTTACTCTCTGTAAAATATCAATAAAATATATTAAAAAAAAGAAAAAAAAGAAAAAGAAAATAGACAGTACAGGGTGAGTGCCCAATAATGGCTACTACTAGAAATAAGTCAATTATTCAAGCACCACAAATACTATGGTACTGAAGATATACACTGAGTAGACAGATTATTATGATCTCTGAACACATAATAATCTGGCCACTCGGTATACATTTATATATATTAGAGGCCTGGTGCATAAATTCGTGCATGGGTGGGGTACGGCCAGCTGGCCAGGGAGAGGGGACATGGGCAGTTGGCCAGTGTGCCTGCTGGTCGAGGGGACAATTTGCACATTAGCTTTTTATTATATAAGAAGATATATATTGAATGGCCAGGCCATTATGCATTCAGAGATTATAATAAACTGGCCACTCAGTGTATATGATGCCTGAAAAGATACCGTGTGACTGAGAAGGAAACAAAGAACATTTCTAACAGGGAAATTAAGCAGACAACCGAACCAAGAATAGAGATCCTGAAAACAGTGATGACCAAAAGTAGAATTTGTTCCACAGATAGTTATTATTTGTTTCTTCCTATAGAAAGCATGTTCAAAAGTATGCTACTTTATAATTCAGGGTCTGAACAAAAGATATCAAGTCTAAAAACAAAACAGAAAAAGTGTACTATGAGGAAAACAAAATAAATATATTCAAAATGGCACTACAGCCGAAACCGGTTTGGCTCAGTGGTAGAGCCTCGGTCTGTGGATTGAAAGGTCCCAGGTTCGATTCTGGTCAAGGGCATGTACATTGGTTGTGGGCACATCCCTGGTAGGGGGTGTGCAAGAGGCAGCTGGTCGATGTTTCTCTTTCATCGACGTTTCTAGCTCTCTATTCCTCTCTCCTCCTCTCACTAAAAAATCAAACTGGCACTACAATAATAAAAATATATTATCTCAAAAATAATGGAAAATAAATATCTTAATGCTGGAAAGAAGGAAAAAAAGAAAACTATATAATATCACGAAAATATTATATAATCACAATAAAAATATAATGAGAAAGTATATTACAAAAATCACACCAAAGGGGGAAATTGAAAAACGTAATACTCAAATTAAAAAATAGAGTGGAATCATGAATGAAAGATATGATCAACTCAAAATAACAAAGAAGTTGCCTGCCAGTGGTGGCTCAGTAGTAGAGCTTCAATCTGTGAATTAGGACATCATGGTTTGGTTCCACATAAGACCAAAGGCATGGGTTAAAGGTTCGATTCCCCAACGTACAGGAAGGCAGTCAATCAATGATTCTATTTTTAAAAATATATATTTTATTGATCTTTTACAGAGAGGATGGGAGATAGAGAGTTAGAAACATCGACCAGTTGCCTCTTGCACACACCTTACTGGAGATGTGCCCTTGACCGGAATCGAACCTGGGACCTTTTAGTCCTCAGGCCAATGCTCAATCCACTGAGCAAAACCGGTTTCAGCCGGTCAATGATTTTATCTTCACTAATGTTGTTCTCTCTCTCTCCCTCTCTTTCCTTTCTAAAGTCAATAAAGATACATTTCAAAAAATAGTAATTAAATAATCAAAGAATTTGTACATAAATAATTAATATTTTTATTTATTAATATTTTGATCCAGAGAACCAGAGACGTGTGGAAATGTGAAGAGAATTTAAGAAACTCCTAAGATAATAACAAATAGACCACCAAGGTAACCCCATAGAGACAGAATAGTGGAAAGAAGGAGGTACCTGATATAAGAAATTAATCATTTAAGATCCTGACAATTGGCCTTTCTGCTGCTGAACGCCGCGGAGTGAGCATCGTTTGAATCCCCCCTGTTGCAGGCATCATGTCTAAGTCTGAGTCTCCCAAAGAGCCGGAGCAGCTGAGGAAGCTCTTTATCGGAGGTTTGAGCTTTGAAACAACCGATGAGAGTCTGAGGAGCCATTTTGAGCAATGGGGAACGCTCACAGACTGTGTGGTGATGAGAGATCTGAACACCAAGCACTCCAGAGGCTTTGAGTTCGTCACCTACGCCACTGTGGAGGAGGTGGATGCATCCATGAACACAAGGCCACACGAGGTGGACGGGAGAGTTGTGGAACCAAAGAGGCTGTGTCAAGAGAAGATTCTCAAAGACCTGGTGCCCACTTAACTGTGAAAAAGATTTTTGTCGGTGGTATTAAAGAAGACACTGAAGAACATCACTTAAGAGATTATTTTGAACAGTATGGGAAAATAGAAGTGATTGAAATCATGACTGACCAAGGCAGTGGCAAAAAGAGGGGCTTTGCTTTTGTAACCTTTGATGACCATGACTCTGTGGACAAGATTGTCATTCAGAAATACCATACTGTGAATGGCCACAACTGTGAAGTAAGGAAAGCCCTATCTAAGCAAGAGATGGCTAGTGCTTCGTCCAGCCAAAGAGGTCGAAGTGGTTCTGGAAACTTCGGAGGTGATCGTGGAGGAAACTTCAGTGGTCGAGGTGGCTTTGGTGGCAGCCGTGGTGGCGGTGGATATGGTGGCAGTGGGGATGGCTATAATGGATTTGGTAATGATGGAAGCAATTTTGGAGGTGGTGGAAGCTACAATGATTTTGGCAATTACAACAATCAATCTTCAAATTTTGGGCCCATGAAAGGAGGAAACTTTGGAGGCAGAAGCTCTGGCCCTTATGGTGGTGGAGGGCAATACTTTGCCAAACCACGAAACCAAGGTGGCTATGGCGGTTCCAGCAGCAGCAGTAGCTATGGCAGTGGCAGAAGGTTTTAATTACTGCCAGGAAACAAAGCTTAGCAGGAGAAGAGAGCCAGAGAAGTGACAGGGAAGCTACAGGTTACAACAGATTTGTGAACTCAGCCAAGCACAGTGGTGGCAGGGCCTTGCTGCTACAAAGAAGACATGTGTTAGACAATACTCATGTGAATGGGCAAAAAAACTCGAGGACTATACTTGTGACTAATTGTATAACAGGTTATTTTAGTTTCTGTTCTGTGGAAAGTGTAAAGCATTCCAACCAAGGGTTTTAATGTAGATTTTTTTTTTTTTTGCATCCATGCTGTTGATTGCTAAATGTAATAGTCTGATCATGACGCTGAATAAATGTGTCTTTAAAAAAAAAAAAAGATCCTGACAATTGGAGAAACATATACATGTAAGTCATCCTCACCCAGGGAAGCCAGGTTGCTGCAGTTCTCCAACATCACATCCAGGTACAACTTTCGCTGAGCTGGGTCCAGGCACTCCCACTCATCCTGAGACAAATCTATGGACACATCTCCGAAGGACAATGGTCCCTGAAAGAAAAGACACATTTACCAAGAGGAGTTCACAATGTCACCCAACATAGAAACAGTGTCAGTAGAAGAGGATTGGACATAGGGGGGTATCCTGAATCACCCAAAAAGACTACTTTGTCCCAGTAACCTTCCTTGATGTGATTGCAAACACTGACAAATGATGACATATGTCCACAAATCCAAGGTACAGATTTACCATTACAGCAAAATAAAATTAAGGCAAGATAAACTTTAAAATTAAGGTTTAGTGGATAGAATGTCAGACTGTGAACGTAGTCACAGATTCAATTTCAGAAAAGGGCACATACCTGGGTTATAGGCTGAATCCCCGGAGGGGGTGTGCAGGAGGCAGCCGAACAATAATTCTTTCTCATCATTGATCTTTTTCTCTCTCACTTATTCTCTAAAATCAATAAAAACATATTTAAAAATAAAATACAGGTATAGACACAGGCATATAGATTTATGCATGATATGTTTTCATCGTTTAGGGTCAGTGGTGTATTTTCAGCTGGAAATATTATGCTGGCTTGGAAGTACCCTGTTTCCCCGAAAATAAGACAGTGTCTTATATTAATTTTTGCTCCCAAAGATGCGCTAGATCTTATTTTCAGGGGATGTCTTATTTTTCCATGCGCTAGGTCTTATTTTCAGAGGATGTCTCATTTTCGGGGAAACACGTATATGGACTTCTTCCCGAATGTCAAGTAGACCACAACAAAATGAACTTCTGTAAAGACACAGATTCTGATCCAGGTTCTCAAAGGGGCCTGGGTTTTCACATGTATCACAAGCTCACTTTTCACCTGTGATGCCAATGTTTCCACATCATGTGGAAAGTAATTAAATAAAATACGTTTAAAAATATATATATATTTAAAAACAAAACAACAAAAACAGTGAAATATAGAAATTGCTGATGTTGCTGAAACCGGTTTGGCTCAGTGGTAGAGCATTGGTCTGCAGACTGAAAGGTCCCAGGTTCGATTCCGGTCAAGGGCATGTACATTGGTTGCGGGCACATCCGCCGGTTGGGGGTGTGCAGGAGGCAGCTGGTCGATGTTTCTCTCTCATCGACGTTTCTAGCTCTCTAGCTCTCTCCCTCTCTGTAAAAAAAATCAATAAAATATATTTTTTAAAAAAGAAGAAACTGCTGATATTGACAATCATAAGAAAAAAGGAAACAAAAACAACCTGAAAAGGCAAGAAAAACAGAAGTAGAGAAATATGGAGGAGAGGAAGGAGCCCCAGAAAGATGAAGGGCAGCTGAGAGGAAGAGAGGAAGAGGTGTACAGAAGTGGGACAAAAAGGTAGAGGCGCTTAAAATAGACTGGTTTAGAGGAGAACTGAGGGAGCAAGTGCAGGGACAGAAAAGGGATTTAGAATGACGGAACAGAGAGAGAAGCAGCACTGAGGCAGCCAGCTGTGACTATGAGGACATTCTGTAACAGCGGCAGCAGAGGAAACACAGACGTGGGAAAGGAAAGAGAAATGTATCAACAGATGGTCAAGAAAAAGCAAAATTAGCCTATGAGACAGGACACATCTTTTACCTGAGAAGCAGCCATTTGTTCCTGGTCCTGATGGGGTCTGGGTTGTTTTCTCAGGTAATAATACGTTGAGGAGTCGCAGACTATATCTTCAAAGGTATCAGCACAGCCCCTTTATCAGCTCACCTCACGCTCACAATCAGTAGGACCTGGAAATGAGGAAAAGAAAACCCCCACCCATCCTTTGTCACAAGAGAGAGTCAGGAACAATGAGCTCCTCCACGGAGACCACACTCTGAGGGGTTTTATTCTGTCTACATGTGTCTGTCCTCCCAAAGGCTTCCACAACCTCCTACAGCAGGGAGAGCATGTGCTGCTTGACTATAACCCTAAGCCCAACACGGCACCCCTTACCTCTGCTGAAAAAGCCTGCCCTGGGGCCCATGACGCGGCATCTTTAACCAGTTCCCTCCTGGGGCCTGCGAGGCTCCCCCAGAGCTGTTTTCAGTAGCGCTGGGTACCGATGTCACACCTGAGACCTCTGGGTAGTGGGAGGGGTTGAATCAGGAACTTGTGCACTTGAAAGTTTGCTAGGCATATATCCTTCCTCTTGTTCCAGGGAATTACAGAGAACAGACCTTCATGCTAAAGTCTTTGGGGAAAGTTAGCTATTGAAATATACTCATCAAATGACTTTCTCATGAACAGATGGGCTCTGGGAACCAATTTCCAATTCAATCCAGTCCATCCTTCTATATTTTCAGAGAATGAACAAGAGGGACTTAGGGTCACGATTCCTTTGTGGCTCATGGACACTAAATCAACAAATCACATAAAGGGAAGGAAAGAGGTGCTGAACATTAGACCGACTCACAGAACCAGCTTTTGAATGTTGAGATCATTGACATCCTTACCAAGTAAATGCTCAGATCACCTCGTATTACTAAGCACCAGTGGAAGTTCCCATGTACGATAAACAGCAGAAAGGATGCAGGGCTCAGAATCTGAACTACACACAATATATTCAAAGCCAAAAACAAGCCCTAGCTGGCTTGGCTCCGTGGCAGAGCACTGGCCTGTCCCAGGTTCGATTCCAGTCAAGGGCCCATGCCGAGTTGTGGGCTCGATCCCCAGGGGGGGACTTGTAGAAGGCAAGCTGACCCAAGATTCACTCTCATGCTTCTATCTCTCTCTCCCTCTTCCTTCCTCTCTGAAGTCAATAAAAAAATTAAGTTAAAATAAAATGAAACTAGGTTGTTTTTTTTAATGTAATGATTTCTAGGCTTAAAGCTGTAAAAAGGGAGAGACTGCCTTATATTAACAAAGAATGATAAGAGGTGCTTGTAAGATGTTACCAACGGTAATTTCAGAAATTAATGACTATTTACATGAATTAAGTATCAGAGATAGAAAATGAAAATCCCTGGGACAGAAAAAAAGATCCAGTGCTTCGACGAGACGGGTTTGGCTCAGTGGATAGAGCGTCTGCCTGCGGACTGAAAGGTCCCGGGTTCGATTCCGGTCAAGGGCATGAACCTTGGTTGTGGGCACATTCCCAGTAGGAGTGATGCAAAAGGCAGCTGATCGATGACTCTCTCTCATCAATGTTTCTAACTCTCTATCGCTCTCCCTTCCTCTCTGTAAGAAATCAATAAAATATATTAAAAAAAAAAAATCCAGTGCTTCTAATATCCCTTCATAAAACATCGGACTCGGTCATCTCTTGTCCCAGGTCACCTCCTTCTTGCATTCCCAGGAATGACAAGAGGCCCATCAGGAACATACTACTCTCTCCCTCTATGTGATTAAGGTTGTAAGTGGATCAAACAACTATAAAATATTCATAAGCTTTATATTGTAGATCTGTAATTCTTATTCAAATCTGTTTTAAAAATTAACTTGTTAAATTCAACAAGCCAATAAATCACACCTTAACCATCCACACCCCATCAGCTCACCACTCACCCAGATGCTCACCTGTAACTGCCCTCCCGCCAGCTTGGTCGCCCCTAACTGCCCTCCCCTACTGGTCTGGTCGCCCCTTACTTGTGGGCCTGTCAGCCCTAACTACTCTGCTACTTGCCTGATCCCCCTAACAGCCCACCCTTCCTGGCCTGATCCCCCTATCTAACCTCCCCTATCTGCCTGATCCCCATAACTACCCTCTTTTGCCGGCCTGATCCCCATAACTCTCCTCCCTGCTGGCCTGATCTCCCAAACTACTCTTCCCTGATGGCCTGGTTGACCCTAATAGCCCTCTCCTGCCAGGATAGTTGCCTCTAACTGCCCTGCTCTGCCAACCTGGTAGCCCCTAACTGCCCTCTGCTGCTGTCCTAGTCACCTCTAACACCTGTGCTTAGGCCCCCACCACCGAAGCTTTTTCGGGAAGGACATCAGGAAGATGTCCAGTCTATTTAGCATATTACACTTTTATTAGTATAGATAAACTGGCAATCGGACGTCCCATTTGCAATAATGGACCTCTGGCTCCTAACAGCTCACCTGCCTGTCAGCTCTAACCACTCTGCTTACCTGCCTGATCCTCCTAACTACCCTCCCCTACGCACCTGATCCCCCTAACTGCCCTCCTCTGCTTGCCTGACCCTCCTTACCCGCCTGCTTGCCCCAAACCACCTCTACCTCAGCCCCCGCCACTGTGGCTTTGCACGGAAGGACATCGAGATGGTTATATGAAAGATGTCCAGCCTAATTAGCATATTCCCCTTTTCTTAATATAGATAAATGAGCAATCAGACATCGATCTTGCAAATCGGGACTCCTGGCTCCTAAATTCAAACCTGCCTGCCTACCCTAACCATTCTGCCTGCCTGCGTGATCCCCCTAACTGCCCTCCCCTGCCAGCCTGGTCACCCCTAACTGCCTTCCCAGGTCTGCCTGATTGCCATAATTGCCCTTCCCAGCCAGCCTGATCCCTCTAATTCCCCTCCCCTCTGGCCTTGTCCACCTGTAACTGCCCTCACTTAACAGCCTGGTAACCCCTAACTGCCTTCCCTTGCCAGTCTGATCCCCCTAACTGCCCTCCTCTGCCAGCCTGGTCCCTCCTATCCGCCTCTGCCTCAGCCCCTGCCACAGAAAGACCTCCGGATGGTCTTCTGGAAGATGTCTGTTATAATTAGAGCATATTACCCCTTTATTAGTATAGATCCCAAAGTTTTATATACTGAAGATTTATAAGTGTGATTCAATCTGTATAACAAAAAAAATCACTTGTTAAATTAAATAGATAAAGCTATGCTTCACGGGGCATGCTCACTGGTTGTAATTGCACTTATGAACCAGGATGTTATGGTTAGATTCCTAGTCAGGGCATATGGCCAGGTTACAGGTTTGATTCCCAGTGAGGAGCCTGCTGGAGGCAGCCGATCAGTGACTGTATCTCCTCTTTGAGGTTTCTCTCTCGCTTCCCTCACCCTGGAAATCGGAAAGCAATAAAAATATACTTTAAAATTTTTATCTACATATACTTATTTGTGTGTGCCACAAAAATATATATATATCACAACTTAATCATAAACCTCCCATCAGCTCACCCCTCACCCAGATCAGGGTTCCCCTCCTCCCACTGCTATGTATTTCTGTCTATGGATCTGTCTCTGACTCCCTGTTCCCTTTATCTCCACTGCGGTCCTTTCCTGGGTCCCCCTCCCCTCCCTGCTCTCCCCTTTTCTCTCTGTCTGTCCATACACATGGACCACGAACCTCCTGAAGCCCATTTCCCTCCGGGGCTCTCTCTCCTGGTCTCTCTGCTCCATCTCCACACACGTCTGCGTCTTTCCCTCCCCGCGCCCGTGTCCCCGCTGCTGCCTGTTACAGTCTGTGCTGCTCCCCACAGCTGGCTGCCTCCGTGCTGCTCCCCCTCGGCTCCCCCATCCTCTGTGGACCCCTCTCCGCCCTCCCCCTCCCCCGGGTCTGTTTCTCCCTCCCTCTCCTGCCCCCCAGCCCGGCCCCCGCCCCGTCACCGCCTCACAAAGCCCTCCCTGGGGCAGGTCCCTCTTCCGGGGACACCGCGTTCTCCCCGAGCCCACCCCCTGGCACTGGCCCCCTGGCACTCAGAACTGATTAGTGGGGGGCCTGGGAAGGCGGGCGCAGACCCCCAGGCCGGGCCATCCGGGCTCTTTGGGCGGGAAGCGCCGGGCGGGGGAGGGCAAAGGGCGGGAACCACTGACCAGACCTCCTGCCCCGCGGGGGCCCCGGCGGCCCCGGGGACGGTTTTCCGCGGGAAAACCACGCGGCGGGCGGGCCCACAGCCACAGGCGGACAGACCGCGGGCCGGGCCTCAGTTTCCCCCAAAGGAACGCGGCGCCTCCACTGAGCAGCATCCCGGACGCGCACTCACCGCCGGGAGGGGCTCCGGGCGGGGCTCCCACACGGACTTCAGCGCCCGCAGCGCCCTCAGCCCGCCCTGCGGGGAGGGGGCCGGGGAGCAGCGGCTTTAAAGCGGACACCCCCTTCAAAAAAAACCGACATCTTCCCCTCCACAACGGCTTCTCTCTGCCAGGAGCTGCGCATGCGCCTCCCTGCGGGGGGCGGGGCCTGAGCGGAGCGGCTCCGCGGTGGGGGCGGGGCCAGGCCTGTGCGGGGACAGGAGGGGGCGGGGCGGAGCCAGGGGGCGGCCTGGGCCCCTCCCCTCCTCCCACAGGGACAGCCCTTCCTGGGGGAGTTCCCGTCATTGTTGGGGTTTGGCTGGTGGCGCGGCTGTGACAGGATTCACAAGGAGAGAAGAGACAGGAGCGGAGAGGGCGGGGATTTTTCTTCTTTAAAGGGAGGAGAGGGCCCGGTGCCCTCTGATGGCACAAGGCCCCCCACATAGGCGGGCTGTTCTTCTGTTAGGGTGCCAGCGAGTAAAGCCAGCTGTGGCAGAAGCATTAAGAGGGGAGGAGGAATCTGGAATTCACACAGAAGTTTCCAGATCCCAGAGGCTGTGCTCAGAGCTACTGGCTGGCCCGCCCTTCAGCTGCACATGCCCCAGGGAGGTGTCTTCCCCAGAGTGTTGTCCCTCCCACAAAGTCACACATTTGATTCTCAGTCAGCTCTGGTACCAGGGTGGAAGATTTGGTCTCCAGACTGCCCTGTGTGCCTGAGGGAGGCAAACAATTAATAGGTCTCTCTCATATCAATGTTTCTGTCTCTCTACCCACTATCCCTCCCATTCTAAGATCAATGGAAAATTCTTTAAATAAAGATTGTAAAGAAAGAGAAACTACATTTACTTTTTAGAATGTTATTGATTTCAGAGAGGAAGAGAATCATCAGTGAGTGTATCAATGTTCCACTGACTCCTACATGCCCCTATTGCGGATTGAAGGAGAAACCTGAGCATGTGCCCTGACTAGGAATCAAACTTGACCTTCTGGTTCATAGATCAATGTTCATCCAGTAAGCAACATAGGCTGCGCAAGGAAGATTACTTCTTATATAATGATAATCTATTTTGTTGCTCCCGTCTCTCCAATCCTCTATTTCTCGTTTTCTTTTTTCTATTTCTGAATGATTTGTCAAATATAGATAACCTGTGAAATATATACACTGAAGAGCACATTGGTACATATTTTTAGCTTAAGAATCATTAATTCTGGCCCTATCTGGTGTCACTCAGTGGATACAGCATTGTCTCATGGACTCATCCTGGCTCTGATTCTGGTGCCTACCTTGCAGGCTGGATTCCTGGCCAATGCAGTCATCTACTAATCAATCTCTCTCTCTCACACTGATGTTTCTGTGCATCTATCCCCCTTCCTTCCACTCTCTAAAAAAGCAATGGAAAAATAGTCTCAGGTGAATACTGAAAACAAAAATATTTATTAATTTTGTTCTCGCCAAGGAGTAACTTTGGCTGGTTGGAGTGACATCCCAATGTGCCAGGATGGTGGTTTTGAGACCAGATTGTTATAGGAATACCTAAAAGGCATTTTGGCATCCTACCTAGTGTGAATACAGTGATACTTTAAAAATCACAATCAATTGCATATTTGGGTAAAGTTTTTACATCCTTACAGTAACTTTAAGGCATAAATTCTTTTTTTTTTTTTGTATAGCAAAGGTGGAAATTTATTGAAGAACAAGTACAGACTCCCGAGTGGGGAGAGGGAAAGACTCTCAGAGTATAGACTTCCACTTTGGGGAGGGAGAAAGGGTCCCCAAGGCATAAATTCAAGAGTTTTATAAACTGTATATGTTAAACAGAAGTCCTACCTTCTATACTATAAATGTAGAATTTCTACCCAATTACAATCCCTGATAAGACTGGGACTATAGGTCCAACACTAGGATTTCCCACATTCTTGTTTTAAGGTTTCCCTCTAGAATAAATTCCAATGTGAGGAATAAGCAACATATGCTAATTAGACTTTAGGTCCTAAAGTTTAGGACATGGTCAACATTTGTATTGTTTCACCCTAGTATGAATTCAGATGTCGGGTAAGGTTTGCATACTGAGTAAGCTTTTTTACATTATTTATATGTCTTGAACTTCGATCCAGTAATAATCATTAGAGGTTGTATGACATTTAAATGATATACACTTTGACATATGTCTCAGAATTTGTAAGACTTTATCATTCTGAATGATAAAGTTTGGTTAAATCATTGCATAATAACTTTTTTTGTTGTTTCTCTTTAGAATGATTTGTAAAATGTTCAATAAATATCACCACAGGCTAAGGGCTAACTCACATTTTCTACAGTGTAAGCCTTGCCTCCACTATAAAATCTCTAGTGTTCAGTAAATTTAAAACTGTGGGTAAAGATTCCAGCCTAGCCAAAACCGGTTTGGCTGAATGCAGAGTGTCAGCCTGTGGACTGGAAGATCCCAGGCTCGATTCCAGTCAAGGGTATGTACATCGGTTGCGGGCACATCCCCAGTAGGTGATGTGCAGGAGGCAGTTGATCGATGTTTCTCTCTCATCAATGTTTCCAGCTCTCTATCCTTCTCCCTTTCTCTCTGTAAAAAAAAAATCAATAAAATGTACTATTTAAAATTAAAAAAAAAAAAAGGTTCTAGCCCATTTGCTACATTTGTATAGTCTCTGTTAGGAAGTCTCTAAGGTAGAGTCATATGTGAAAGGCTTTTAAGGTTTTTTACGTTTTTCACATTCTACAGCTTCTTTTAAGAATGAATTCTCTGATATTCAGTAAGTTCTCACTGCTGGTCAAGGATTTCCAACACTATATACCATCTGTATGGCTACTCTGCAGTATGAACTCTTTGTAGATTAGTAAAGTTTGAGAATCTACCAAATGACTAGTGACATTCTTTATATTTATAAGGTTTTTTTCTAGTATGAACTCTCTGATGTGTAGTAAGGCCTGGATTCGCCAAAGAATTTGGTACATTATGTACAGTTATAAAGCTTCTCTCCAGTATGAACTTGCCGATGCTTGTTAAGGTTTGAGGATTTGCCAAAGGATTTACCACATTCTGTACATTTATAAGGCCTCTCTCCAGTATGAACTCTCTCATGCTTACTAAGTCCTGATGAGCGGCCAAAGGCTTTGCCACATTCTCCACATTTGTAAGGCTTCTCTCCAGTATGAACTCTCTGATGTACCGTAAGGATTGAGGAACTGCTATAGAACTTGCCACATTCTTTACATTTATAAGGCTTCTCTCCCGTGTGAACTCTCTGATGATCAGCAAGGATTGAGGACCTACCAAAGGCTTTGCCACATTCTCTACATTTGTAAGGCTTCTCTCCTGTATGAATTCTCTGATGTCGATTAAGATTCGAGGACTCACTGAACACTTTACCACATTCTGTACATTTATAAGGCTTCTCTCCAGTGTGAACTCTCTGATGATATGCATGCCTTGAGGGTAAGCCAAAAGATTTGCCACATTCTCTACATTTATAAGGCTTCTCTCCAGTATGAACTCTCTGATGCTTTATAAGTTCTGAGGAACGGCCAAAGCATTTGTCACATTCTGTACATTTATAAGGGTTCTCTCTAGTATGAACTCTGTGATGCTTTATAAGTCCCGAGGAACTGCCAAAGGATTTGTCACATTTTGTACATTTATAGGGCTTCTGTCTAGTATGAACTTTCTGATGGATTGTAAGGTTTGAGCATCTACCAAAGGTTTTGCCACATTCTCCACATTTGTACGGCTTCTCTCCTGTGTGAACTCTCTGATGCATTTTAAGGTATGAAGATCTGCCAAAGGCTTTTCCACATTCTCCACATTTGTAAGGCATCTCTCCAGTATACATTCTTTGATTTAGAGAATAATCTGAAGGCCAATGAGATGTTTTATCAAAATCTTTACACGTATAAGGTTTTTCTTGATTACATATTTTTTGCAGTCTATTTACATTGGATAGTTGACTGAAGCCTCTCCCACACAAATTCCATTTATAAGCCTCCTCTCGGGTATGAATATTTTGTTTGGTGTAATTTAATGATTGCTGAAAAGACTGGACACATTTATTTCCTTTGTGTGTCTTCTTCACAATAGGTATAACCTGACATATATTGTGACTGGACATTTTTTGGTCAAAGACTTTTCCACTTTTGTAATGGTTCTCTGCAAGCTCGCTTGTATGATGATTAAGATATGACTCTTGCTTAAAGTTTTCCAGATGTTCATTCCATTGATAACTTCCGTCTCCAAAACCTATACTCTGCTAATGGGAGATAGAAATTCCTTTATAGTGACAGTTATAAATTCATTAAACATGCACACTTGTTCCATCAGATCAACTTTGTGATAATCATTAAACCAAGATGGTTGTATAAAAAAAAGCTCTACTAATTTATTAAAATTATTGTCAAGAAATAAATACAAAACATTAATAGTCAGAGGAAGAATATTAAATCCTTGTTTAAAAGATTGCCAAATTGCCTGGCTAGCATGGCTCAGTGGTTGAGCTTCGACATATGAACAAGTATGTGATGGTTCCTTCTTGGTCATGCCACCTGCCCCGGTTGTAGGACTAGAGCATGGTGGGAGGCATGCAGGGGGAAGCAAATGAAAAATTCTCTCTCATCATTGATATTTTTGGCAATCTCATCCTCTTCCTAACTCTGTGAAATCAACAAAAATGTTTGTTTGTTTTTTAAATCATAAACTAATGCCAAATTGAGCACAGGTTAATTTTATTGGTACAGTATAAATATGTACATTTTAGAAATGATTGCATGAAAATTTAATCCCACTCTACCTTTTAAACAATTCAAATGATTTTTTACACTACTGACTATGTGAATTCCTAGTTTATCCAGACTTCCTTTTAAAGAATTCATAGCTTTAAGAAGTTGTTTTCGACTTTCATGTGCAGAAACACACTGACCTGCCAATATCATTGACTTTAAACTGGGAGGTTTCCCAACTGCATAATACACTTTATCTCTTTAGGTAAAAAGTATTTTATTCTGATAACTGTTCCAGATTAGTTCTGTTTATAATAATATTCTATCTTCTTGTCACACTTCCCCAAATCCCACGACTTTCATTAAGTGTACATTATCAAATCAACATCTTTTATGTCTTACCAGTATTATTTCAGAGAATAAATTTGGTATTCCAGTATTTGGCATAAAGGCCTGGTAATCTTCAGATGACATAGCTGAAAGAAAACAATTCAGTTTTGACAGTCAGGTGAGTGCACTTTGAAGTTATCAGCAACTATAAGCCAAATGACAGTTTTCAGTACTGCAAGAGACAGTGAAAGTATTCAAGGAAACCTCAAGATAGGTACAATGAGGAAAAATCAGGCCAGCATTGGAGCAGTTAGGTGTTAATCAGGCCATGAGGGGAGCGGTTAGGGGGTGATCAGGCTGGCAGGCAGAAATGGTTAGGGGCAATCGGGCAGGCAGGCAAGCTGTTAGGAACAAGCAGTCCTGGATTGTGAGAGGAATGTCTGACTGCCAGAAGTCAGACATTCCCAGAGGGCTCCCAGATTGAAGAGAGTGCAGGTTGGGCTGAGGGACAACTCCTCAGTGCACAAATTTCGTGGACTGTGCCTCTAGTAAGGAAGTCATACATCCAGCTATGAAAAGACATGATAGAAGCCTAGATACATAGAACTACATGAAAGAATCCAATGTGTCTACACAGATAGCACCGTTGTTTAGAGGATCAGACTGATATACCAAATTCGAAGGTTTCATCTCAGGTCAGGGCATGTACAAAAAAATCAATTAATACCCAGCTATCCAACTCTCCCTACCTCCCTGAAATCAAGATCTTTAAAAAAATTTTAAAAAAGAAAAGAAAATGGAGTGTGAATTTTGATAAGATCCTTTCCCATTTCCAATCCAGGTTGTTCTATGACCTAAGACATGGAAGAATCTTAGAATATTCTAGAAAATTATTTTTTAAAGTATTATTTTCTGATGGGACTTTTAAGTCCCAAAGACAATATGTAAAGTGTGCAAACACTGAGTTCCTCATTTGCATAAATCACAAAGCCTTTCTTTCCTACCCACAATTTCTTCGTCCATAAAAATATATAAATTTTTTTTATTGCTTTCAGAGAGGAAGGGAGAGGGAAAAAGAGATAGAAACATCAGTGATGAGACAGAATCATTGATGCATTGCCTCCGGCACACCCCCTACAGGGAAGCAAGATAGCAACCCAGGCATTGGTCCATAACCAGAATCTAACCTAGGACCTTTTACTCCACAGACCACTGAGCCTATCTACTGGTCCAAACCAGCTAGGGCCCAATTTGTTCCTCTAGAGCAAGTATCTAACACAAAGAGAAGAAACCCTTTAGAGATGTTAAAATAAAGGAAATTAAACCCTGCGGGTGGAGTTGAAACTCCGAAGGAGTCATCCTCACCCAGAAAGGCCAGGTTGCTGTAGTTCTCCAGCATCACATCCAGGTACAACTTCTGCTGAGCTGGGTCCAGGCATTCCCACTCTTCCTGAGAGAAATCTATAGCCACATCCCCGAAGGTCAACAGTCCCTGAAAGAAAACACACATTTACCAAGAAGTCACCAGAAGAGTTCACAACATCACCCAACACAAAAACAGTGTTAGGAGATAAGGTTTGTACCTATAAGAGTATTCCTAAATCACCAAATAAGATCCCTTTGCCCCAGTAACCTTCTCTGATGTGTTTTCTAACACTAACAATTGAGGTTGACATATGTCCACACATTCACAACACAGATTTCACTTTACAGGAGAAAAAAAAAAACTTTAAAATTACGGCAGGACCATAGTCAGTTTTGCTCAGTAAATAAGAGTGTCGCCTGCAAACTGAAGAGTCGCAAGTTCAATTCCAATCAAGGACACATGCCTAGGTTGTGGGCTCCATCCACAATAGAGTGTACAGAAGGGAGCCGATCAATGATTCTCTCTCATTATTGATATTTCTATCTTTATCTACCTTTCTGAAATCAATAAAAATATACTGAAAAAATAAACAAAATGAAATAAAATTAAGGCATGGATAAAGACATATGGATTTCTGAGTGCTGTATCTGCATCATTCAGGGTCAGTGGAGTATATTTCTCAGATGGAAATATCATGCTAGATTGGAGTATATGACTTCTTCTCGTGTGAAGCAGATCACAACAAAATGAAATTCTGTAAAGGCATAGATTCTGATTCTGTTTCTGAGATGGGGCCTGTGTTTCCACATGTGTAACTAGCTAACTTTTGATTTGTGATGCCAATGTTTCTGCATCACATCCCATACTTGTGAATACTCAGGAATAGAAAACACAAGAAATAATTCATATAAAACTTTGAACTGAACGTTAATGGCATTTTGTTAATGGAATTCAGTTCTCCTGCAATTTAACACATAGAAACCACAATCCGCATTGAAATTTACTATAAATAAACTTAGAACAAGATTATTCTACCTAGTCCAGCTGTTGTGGCCCAGTAATTGAGGGCTGACCCATGGACAAAGAAATGACTGGTTTGATATCTGTTCTGGACTTGCGACCAAACTGCAGGCTCAATCCCGTGTAGGGTGTGCAGGAGTTAGTCAATCCATGATTTTGTTTCATTATTGACATTTCTATCTCTCTCTACCTCTCCCTTCCTCTCTGTAATCCATAAACAAATACTTGAGGGGGGGGGGAAAGAAAAAATAGCTGCAATAACATTTATAGTTTCGGTACAGAGATACACATTTTACAACTATGAAATCAAGATGGTTTCGTGATTCTGTAAATCTGCATGAGTGTATTTGTGTATGATCCCTTTGTGTTGTATAAACACAATAAGGAGAGAAACATAAGGATACAAAACAAGTTAGACTTATTGTTTCTTTTGTGTGGTTGTAAATTCTCACCTTGGGAGAATTTCCCCCCACTGACTTTTGGAGAGTGTATATCAAGGAGGTAGAGGAACAAAAGGATAAAGGGGAAGAGAGGAAAAGGGGAGGGGGAGAGAAAGAGAGAGAGACTCACGGATTGGCTGTCTATACTTGCCCTGGGACCAGCATGAAAACCCTCCATCACTGATCCACACCACCCTCGGGGAATTAATTATTCCTGTTAGTACATTTGTTTTAAAAATTTTATGTACAGTAGAGAGCTACATTGTAGAAATTTAATGAAACTGAAGACACATTAGCCGGGACCGGTTTGGCTCAATGGATATAGCGCCGGCTTGGGGACTGAAGGGTCCCTGGTTCGATTCCGGTCAAGGGCATGTACCTTGGTTGCTGGCATATCCCCGGTAGGGGGTGTGCAAGAGGCAGCTGATCGATGACTCTCTCATCGATGTTTCTAACTCTCTATCTCTCTCCCTTCCTCTCTGTATAAAATCAATAAAAATATATTTTAAAAAAGAAAAAAAAAAGAAAAAAGAAACTGAAGACACATTAATAATATTACTTTGGGGAACTTTCTAAGTAATCATGTAGGGCAGTGGTTGGCAAACCGCAGCTGGTGAGCCACATGCAACTCTTTGGCCCCTTGAGTGTGGCTCTTCCACAAAATACTACAGTCTGGGCGAGTCTATTTTAAAGAAGGGCTATTAGAAGTTTAACTTTAAAAAATTTGGCTCTCAAAATAAATTTTAATCATTGTACTGCTGATATTTGGCTCTGTTGACTTATGAGTTTGCTGACCACTGATGTAGGGTATATCTGTGATTGTGATTAGAGAATATAATGAAATTTTAAAGAATCAAGTCTTATTTGTTTAAAAAATCCTATGCAAAAGCCAATTACCAGTAAAAGAAAAGTAAGTCCTTTTCAAAAGCAAATGCAAACTAAGAAGAGGGACAAACTGAGAAAGGGAGACTATTAACTCTATACTGAGGGGAGCACTTATGCCACCTGAATATCAGGTAGACTGAGACAATGGCCATCAGGTGACTGAGGCACACACTCGGAAGGTCACGTCACCATTGCCATGACATTACTGCCAAAAATACCTCAATAAAGAAATAATTATGTGGAAATTATCACAAATAAACATTAATTTTTGCAAGTATCAGTCCAGGGGTACCTTTCGTGTTCTGTAAGCTAACAATACATTTAACTACCAAGTCTTTGTACTAATCTAGTGAGCAAGTGTCTTCTATTTTCTATTTATTCTTCTTTCACAACTTGCTGAGCAATTCTGAGCAGTAAAGTGTACATTTTCTAACCCCTGATCAAAAGCTGATGCTGCAGCCTCTTGAACCTAAAACCTACATTTCTTTTCTTCAATATACTAGAGCCTCAGAACCCATCCTAATACTAGGTATGTCAAACATGTGTCACAAAAGGGATGTTCTGAAAAGTTGCAAGTCATTAAAAAGTAGGAATGCTTCCTGACCTTATGGAGACTGCATAAAATGAAGGCAGAGAAAGCTCTGGGAAAAAGGAGAGAATTATTACCCGTGATGCTCAGAAGTAGAGCTTTGACCTCTGAACCAGGAGGGCAGAGTTCCATTCCTGGTCAGGTCACACTCCAGGATTCACACTGGGTACCCAATGGGGGGAATGCAGTAGGCAGCTGATCAATGCTTCTCTCTGCTCACTGATGTTTCTATCTGTCTCTCTTCTCCTTTCCATTTTGAACTCAATAAACACAAGTTAAAAAAGAGACAGAGAAATATAGAAACTGCTGACAATGACTATCGAAAGAAAATAGAAAACAAAACTACCGGGTTTGTCTCAGTGGGTAGAGCATCAGCCTGTGGATTGAAGGGTCCCAGGTTCAATTCTGGTCAAGAACACATGCCTGGGTTGTGAACTAGATCTCCAGTGGGGTTGTAAAGGAGGCAGCCTAACAATGACACTCTCTCATCATTGATGTTTTTTTCTTTCTGTCTATCTCTTCCTTCCTCTCTGAAGTCAACAAAAATAAAAAATATAAAAAAGAAGAAAACAGGAAATAAGGAAAGGAAAACAACTTGGAAATACAGGACCATTAAAAGTACAGAAATATGGAGGAGACATAGAGGCCCAGAGAGATGAAGGAGACTGAGAGGGAAAGTGGCCCTAGTGAACAGAAATGGGGGAGACACTTTAGAGAGACTGGTTTGAGGAAAATAATTGGGGGAGTGCAGGGACAGAAAGGGGGATTTAGGGATGACAGAGCAGAGGGAGAAGCAGCACAGAGTCAGCCAGCTCTGGGTAACAGGACAGACTGTAACAGGCAGCAGAGAGGACAGGGGACACAGGTTTGTGAAGGGAAAAATAAATATATCAACAGATGTTCAAGGAAAAGCAAATAGCCTCTTATTCAAGACACATCTTTTACCTGAGAAGCAGCCATTGGTCCTGGTCCTGATGGGGTCTGGATTGTTTCCTCAGGTGACAGTATGTTGAGGAGTCACAGAATGTGCCTTCAAAGGTGACCACACAGCCTGTTAATCAGCTCACCTCACACTCACAGTCAGAAGGACGTGGAAATGGAAAAAGGCCAAGTTCTCTTATCCTTGATCACAGGAGCGAGTCAGGAACAATGAGCTCCCACATGGAGACCACACTGTGAGGTGTTTTCATCTGTCTTCATGTGGTTGTCCTTCCAAAACTTCTACAAACTCCTACAGCAATGAGAACATGTACTGCTCTGAACTCCCAAACCCAATGGCATACCCCTTAGCTTCTTTTAATATGCCTGCCCTGGGGCCCATGACAGGGAATCTTTGGGTAGTTCCCTCCTGGGGCCTGCAAGGGACTCCCAGAGCTGTTGTCAGTAGCACTGGGTACAAACATCAGACCCAGAACACCTGAGACTTCTGGGTAGTCGGGATTGGAGTTTTCAACACAACCTTGTACATGTGCAGGTTTTCAAGAAAGAATTACCCCTCCCTTTATTTATTTATTTGTGTGTTTATTTTAGTTTTAAACAATGAAGTTATTTTTTTAATAATAAATCTTTCCCCCTTTTCTCTCTGTCCCTACACCTGGACCATGAAACTCCTGAAACCTATTTCCCTTCTGGTGCTCTCTCTCCTGGTCTCTCTGCTCCCATCTCCACACACGTCTGCGTCTTTCCCTCCCCGCGCCCGTGTCCCCGCTGCTGCCTGTTACATTCTGTGCTGCTCCCCACAGCTGGCTGCCTCCGTGCTGCTCCCCCTCTGCTCCCCCATCCTCTGGGGACCCCTCTCCGCCCCCCTCCTCCCCCGGGTCTGTCTCTCCCTCCCTCTCCTGCCCCCCAGCCCGGCCCCCGCCCCGCAGCCACCGCCCCACAAAGCCCTCCCTGGGGCAGGTCCCTCTTCCGGGGACACCGCGTTCTCCCCGAGCCCACCCCCTGGCACTGGCCCCTGGCACTCAGACCTGATTAATGGGGGGCCTGGGAAGGCGGGCGCAGACCCCCAGGCCGGGGCCATCCGGGCTCTTTGGGCGGGAAGCGCCGGGCGGGGGAGGGCAAAGGGCGGGAATCACTGACCAGACCTCCAGCCCCGCGGGGGCCCCGGCGGCCCCGGGGACGGTTTTCGGCGGGAAAACCACGCGGCGGGCGGGCCCACAGCCACAGGCGGACAGACCGCGGGCCGGGCCTCAGTTTCCCCCAAAGGAACGCGGCGCCTCCACTGCGCAGCCCCCCGGGACGCGCACTCACCGCCGGGAGGGGCTCCGGGCGGGGCTCCCACACGGACTTCAGCGCCCGCAGCGCCCTCAGCCCGCCCTGCGGGGAGGGGCCCCGAGCAGCGGCTTTAAAGCACAGACACCGCCTCAGGGAGCCGCCACCGGCCCCTCCGCAGCCGCTTCCGGCTGCCAGGACTGCGCATGCGCCTCCCTGCGGGGGGCGGGGCCTGAGCGGAGCGGCTCCGCGGTGGGGGCGGGGCCAGGCCTGTGCGGGGACAGAGGGAGGGGGCGGGGCTGGGCCAGGGGGCGGCCTGGGCCCCTCCTCTCCTCCCACAGGGACAGCCCTTTCTGGGGGAGTTCCCGTCATTGTTGGGGTTTGGCTGGTGGCGCGGCTGTGACGGGATTCACAAGGAGAGAAGAGTCAGGAGCAGAGAGGTTGGTGATTTTACTTCTTTTAAAAAATATATATTTTATTGATTTTTTACAGATAGTTAGAAACATCGCTGAGAGAGAATCATCGATCAGCTGCCTCCTGCACACCCCCTACTGGGGATGTGCCCACAACCAAGGTACATGCCCTTGACTGGAATCGAACCCAGGACCTTTCTGTCTGCAGGCTGACGCTCTATCCACTGAGCCAAACCGGTTTTGGCATGATTTTACTTCTTTAAAGGGAGGAAAGGGCCAAGAGCTCTTTCATCGTAGAAGGAACAATCATAGTGTTTTATGGAACAAATGGCAGCTGTGGCAAAAGCATAAAGAGGGGAGGAGAAATCTGGAATTCACACAAAGTTTCCAGATCCCAGAGGCTGTAATTAGAGCTACTGGCTGGTCTGCCCTTCAGCTGCACAGGCCCCAGGGAGGTGTCTTTCCCAGGATCTTCACAGGCCGGGAACACATTCTCACAGGGAAGTTTAGAGAATTCAAAAGGCGGGCAGGTTGGGTTTGAAACCAGAAACTTCCTGCCTGTGATTTTCCTGGATCCTTAAACCCTCAGTGAAGAGAGGGTAGGGGAAGGGCAGCCTGCTCTCTCAGCTCCTCCCTGTCTCCCCATCTGAACGGAGAGGCAGCTTGAGTTAGGGAAGCAGGTGGATGGGGGTGTCAGAGACAGACCCAGATATCCATTCATGGTTAGGCACCTGATGAGATTAGGTCCCACCAAACAGTGGGAAAGAAATTTATGCATTTCTCAAGGGATAAAAAATTTCTGGTTGTAAATTTTGGTCTTTAAATGTTCTGTGAAGGCATTTTTATTGTTGTTATTATTATTATTATTTTGAAGAGTGATTTCATGAGGCTTTTATTTTTCCCCCCCAGTAACATTTACTTTTTGGCCATAAGACCCTAAACACATTTTCACAGTTACAGGTCATGCATAACTTGCAAGCCGAATGTTTTACAGCTATGGTGCAACTACTAGTTTTGGAGAATAAATTCACATGCAGCAAATGATCCCAGAAAAGCAGCTTCATAAAGCACTCTAAGCTTCACTGAACGTCTGGGAAGGCATTTTTAAATAAATATTTTGACTTTAGTAGTCCCTATAACCTAGTTAATGAGACACTGCTATTAATGTAGAATGTGTCCTGTTAAGTTCTCCTTATATTTGGAAAACAATTTTAAAATCAACAATATTTAAAACAGTTATAAGAATATTGGCGGCCTGGATTCTTGCTTATTCAAATTAGAAGAAAGATTTGTGCAGTAATTACATTACTACAAAAAATACATGTCAAAATAGTAGTTTGTGTTATACAATTAAAGCACCCTGTAATAGGTGCCAGTGAGAGATTTGTATGTATTGCATGTGCAGTAATCAATATTTATTTTCAAGTTGTCAGTGCTCCCTACCAGCAGGTGGGAGAGGATTCAATCCACAGGGGCAAATGCAAACTCCAGAAATGATGTGTTAAATGTGGTCTCCAACTTTCCGACATGCCTGTGGATTTCCTCCTTAAAACTGATAATGGAATGAAACATTCTCTGGCAATGATATGTTTGTCCACATCCCTCTCCATTCCAATGGTGAAGGTTTTTGAAGTCAGTGACTCACACATTTAGCTTCAAATATTTATTATAAACACACTCAGAAAGATTTCCATGTGTGTTGGAAAATAACAATTACAAAGGATTATGTCAGAAGCTAATTTGCCCCTCCATCCCCCAGCCATGAAGGCACATGTTGGTAGTGACGCTGAAGTAACTCTGCAGGAACTGGACCTCAGTGAGGGGCTGGAGGTGGGGAGGGCCGTAAACCCAGGAACATGATTGAAATTGGAATTCACATAAGCACTTTCGTTAAACACCACCACCAAAAAAACTGCAATGTTCTATGTGAGGATGAAGAAACGAAATTGTCCCTGGGTAGATGGGTAATTTCATACTGAGACCTCCCTGCTCCCTTCCTCATTCCCCAGGGTGAGTAAGACTCAATAGTGTCGAGTTCCACAGTCTTTCAGAGGGACACGACCTGGGATATGAGATTTTATCAAGACGTGAGTATTTAGGACAACAGCATTGCTTTAAAATAAACCTTTTAAAGAACATTGTGATAAACTGCATTACTAAGACAAATGTGTCCAACGCTTGAATTAAATTTCCTTACGGTTTTTTTTAATTAAAACATTTTATTTAATGAAGCATTTTATTTATTTTTAAATATATATTTTATTGATTTTTTACAGAGAGGAAGACAGAGGGATAGAGTTAGAAACATCGATGAGAGAGAATCATCGGTCAGCTGCCTCTTGCACACCCCGCACTGGGGATGTGCCCGCAACCAAAGTACATGCCCTTGACCGGAATCGAACCTGGGACCCTTCAGTCTGCAGGCTGATGCTCTATCCACTGAGCCAAACCGGTTTCGGCTTAATGAAGCATTTTAATGTAACATCTATTCCAAAATTAAACACATAAAAAATATTGCTGACTTAGCTCAGAAGCACATTGAGCTCTTCTTTCTTGACATTATCCAAACGAAACTCCAAGCACATGTACAGGTTTTTCTACAATATATCCTCCTTTTATAAGAACCCCACTTCTAACAGATTAGGACTCCACTCTTCTGACCTCATATAACCTTAATGACCTCCCTAAACCCTCTATCTCCAAATACAGACACATTGGGGGTTAGGGCTTCAAAATATCCAAGGGGACACATTTCAGTCCTTAACACTCAGCATCTCAAGTTCATTGTGTTATATAATCCACCTCAAAACTGATTCCATTAATGCAATAATAATTCAATATTTATTATGAGCCTGTGGACAGGCCAGGTGGTTCTGCTTCATGCGGTATAGGCAGGCAGATGTTGGCAGTGAGGCTGAAGCAACCATGTAGGAACTGGGACCTCTACTTTAGATCAACTTTTCTCTTAATCAAAACCTGATTTGCCAAGCTTCCTGACTTCAATTCTAGTGCTTTCAATTATTGTCCCCTTGCCATGTACTTGTCCATTAAGTCTGCTTCCAGTCTCTATTCACTCGCCAGACCCATGGCCATGTCACTCAGTAGGTTTTTATTATGGAGCACCTCAATCTTAGCAACTCTTTTCACTTTGAACGTCTTTGTTGTAGAATAAAACACCTCTAAGTTTAACCGCTTAAATCATCCAAAATTCATCTTTTCACGCAATTCCGTGGTGGCTGAGCCCTTCTCTGCTGCTTTCATGTAAGCTCATACACCCAGGTGCATCCAGCTGGCAGGGCCGCAGGGAGTTGTCTGGGGCCGCAGGGAGTTGGGAAACTTGTCTTTGAAACAATTTTTAAACTTTTTTTTTTTTTAATAGTGAAATTATAAATGGATAAAAACACCTATGTGCAAGACATTTATTGGTTGCCTCCGGAGCACCACCTGAGCAGATCAGGAATCACACTCCCAATCCGAGACTTTCTACACTATGAATCAAACCTGCAACTTTTTTATTTTTATTGATTCAGAGAAGAAAGGAGTGGGAGATAGAAACATCAATGATGAGAGAGACTAGGTGATCACCCTCCTGCACCCTTCCTCATATCCCTGAGGATCATGGCCACAACCTGGGCATGTACCCTTGGCTGGAATGGAACCCAGGACCCTTCAGTCTACAGGCTGATATTCTATCCATTGAGACAAATCGCCTAGGGCACGAGTATGAATTTTTTTATGGCGAGTAAGCTTTCTTGACTCCCTGAAGTCTTTGCCACATTCATTACATTTATAAGGTTTCTCTCCAGTATGAATTCTATGATGGTTTGTAAAGCCAGAGTAATTCCAAAAGGCTTTGCCACATTCATTACATTTATAAGGTTTCTCTCCCGTGTGAACTCTCTGGTGTTTATTAAAACCTGAGGACTGACTAAAGGCTTTGCCACATTCATTACATTTAAAAGGCTTCTCTCCGGTATGAACTCTCTGATGTTCAGTAAGGGTTGAGGCCTTACTTAAAATTTTGCCACATTCTCTACATTTATAAGGCCACTCTTCAGTATGAACTCTCTGATGAGAAGTAAGGGATGAAGAGTGGCTAAACGCTTTGTCACATTCTCTACATTTATAAGGCTTATGTCCTGTATGAACTCTCTGATGTCGCTTAAGGCCTGAGGACTCACTGAAGGCTCTCCCACAGTCTCTACACATATGGGGCTTCTCTCCAGTATGAACTCTCTGATGCTTGGTAAGCCCTGAGGAGCATCCAAAGGCTTTGCCACAATCCCTACATTTATAAGGCTTCTCTCCAGTGTGAACTCTCTGGTGCATAATAAGTTGTGAGGACGTCCCAAAGGATTTGCCACATTCTGTACATGTATAAGGCTTCTCTCCAGTATGAATACGCTGGTGGCGATTAAGGTGTGAGGAGTGATTGAAGGCTTTGCCACATGCTTTACATGGGTAAGTCTTCTCTCCAGTATGAAATTTCTGATTTAGAGTACAACCTGAAAGCCAATTAGATGTTTTACTAGAACCTTTACATGTATACGGTTCTTCTTCACTATGGATTTCTTTCAGTTCATTTGGATTGAATATCTGACTGGATATTCTACCACAGGCATTCCCTTTGTAAGCCTCCTGCCCAGCATGAATACCCTCTTGTTCGGCGTAACTTGACGATTCCTGAAAAGACTGGACACATTTACTTCCTTCGAGTGTCATCTCCGCAATAGGAATAACTTGATGTATATTGTGATTGGACATTTGGTCAAAGAGTTTTCCACTTTCATAATGATCTTCTGTGAGCTCGCTTTTCCAATTACTATTACGATATGACTCTTGCTTAAAGTTTTTCCAATACGCGTTCCATTGATAACTTCTGTCTTCAGTATATGTACTCTGGGATAATGAGAGATAGAAAGGGTTTCAGTGAAAGCTATAATTTCATTAAACATGTTCACTTGTGTAAGAACCATTTGTGATACTCATTAGACCAAGATGGTTGTGCAAAAAAAAGCATTCCCAATCTATAAAAATTATAGACAAAAAATAAAATTTTAATTGTCAGAGGAAGAATAATGAATCCTTGTTTAAAAGATTGCCAAATGCCTAGGAGGCATGACTCAGTGTTTGAGTACTGGTCAGGACACATGTCTGGGTTATGGGCTCAATCCCCAGTGAGGGGTGTGCAGGAGGCAGCCAGCCAATCAATGATTCTCAACATTGATATTCTTCTCATTCTCCTTCCTCTCTGAAATAAAAAATGTATTTTAAAAAATACTGCAAAATTGAGCACATTTAAATTGCATAAGTACTGTACATTATAAATATCAAAATTTTAGATAGGATTGACTGAACAATTAATACCACCATAACACTTTAAACAATTAAATGATTATCCACACCACAGACTGAGTTTCTAGTTTTCTTCAGATTCCCTTTCCAAGGATACATAACAATAAAAAGTTGTTTTCTACCTGTATGTGCAGAAACACACTGATCTGCCAATGTATCTGACTTTAAAGTGGCAGGTTTCTCAAATGCATAATATGCTTGACCTCTTTAGGTAACAAGAATTTTATTATTAATAATTATGCCAGGTTAGTTCTATTTATATTAATATTTTCTCTTCTTTTCAACTCTCAAATCCCAAGGCTTTCCTTAAGAGTATATTATGAAAGCAACTATCTTTAATATCTTACCAGTATTATATCAGAGAATACATCATGTAGTCCGGGCTTTGGCAAAAAGGCCTGGTCATCTTCAGATGAGATAGCTGAAAGAAATAAATCTTCAGTTTTTGACAACCAGGTGACTATACTTTCAACTGACCAGCAAGTGTTAAGCAAATGACAGTTCTGAGTATTCCAAATGCAAGTGAAGGATTCAAAAAAAAAGCTTAAGATAGGTACAATGAGGAAAAGTCATATCAAAGTGGGACAAACAGTTGCTTACATTTGCCAATGATACCTGCTTAATTAAACCCCCTGGCACACATGGCAATATTATAAAAATTCTCCCAATTCCCAGGTTCTTCGCTGGAGAAACAGAGAGATGAGAACGGCATGTTCAATGATCTCCCTGTTTTGAAGCATCTTGAAGGTCATGTGTCTGTTGTGCATGACACAGAGTGAGCACAGAATGGCAGTACGGGTGAGTATCCTGTAGTGGCTGCTAAAAGGAAACAGTGAGAAAGTGTTCCAGCCCCACAAAGACTGCGGTACTGAAGATGTATATGAAGCCTGAAAAGATACCGTGGGCCTGAGAAAGACACAGAGAACATTTCACCTGGGAAATGAAACAGAACCAAATCGAGAACACAGATCCTGAAAACACTGTTGACCGAAAGTAGAATTTGTGCCACAGATAGTTATGATTTATTTCCTCCTAGAGACAGCATGTTCAAAAGCCTTCGTGTTTACAATTCCTGAATCTCAACAAAAGATATCAAGTCATGCAAAGAAACAGAAAGTGTCCCATCAGAAACACAAAATATATGTAATCAAACTGAAACTACATCAATGAAAATACATTACCTGAAAAAAAAAGAAAAATAAATATCTTAAAAAGGAAAACGTAGAAAAGAATGACTACTATATCAGGAAAATGTTAGCTTCTTCTCATTTTCCCTAAACACAAGATTTGCCTTAAATCCTTCAACTGCAGCGCTGGTTAGAACAGCTCCAATTTGATGAGTTCTGGCAGCCCCCGGAACACCCACCGTAGAGATTGCGACCTCTACAGCTCCTCAGAGGCCTAGATTATGCTGCAGAGCAACCTTTGCACCGGGAGCTTGCCTTTTTTCTACTGTATTTTTGCATTCCGGTATTGAGTTTTTTGTTACGACCAAAATCAGGAAAATGTTACGACCAAAATAAAATACAATGAGAAAGAAAGTGTGCGTGTGTGTGTGTGTGTGTGTGTGTGTGTATATATACATATATATATATATATATATATATATATATATATATATATATTTATTGGTTTTTTAAAGAGAGGAAGGGAGAAGGATAGAGAGTGAGAAATATTGATGAGAGAAACATCAATAAGCTGCCTCCTGTACACCTCCTACTGGGTAGGTGCTTGCATCCAAGTTACATGCCCTTGACTGGAATCGAAACTGATACCTTTCAGTCTGGAGGCCAAAACTCTATCCACTGAGCCAAACCAGTTAGGGAGAAAGATAGTAAATTTTTAAAAAACCACTCCAAAGTGGGACATTAAAAAACTCAATACCTGCCGAAACCGGTTTGGCTCAGTGGTAGAGCGTCGGTCTGTGTACTGAAAGGTCCCAGGTTCGATTCCGGTCAAGGGCATGTACTTTGGTTGCATGCACATCCCCAGTGGGAGGTGTGCAGGAGGCAGCTGATCGATGTTTCTTTCTCATCGATGTTTCTAACTCTCTATCTCTCGCCCTTCTTCTCTGTAAAAAAATAAATAAAATATATTAAAACAAACAACAAACAAACAAAAAACTCAATACCGGAATGCAAAAATACAGTAGAAAAAAGGCAAGCTCCCGGTGCAAAGGTTGCTCTGCAGCATAATCTAGGCCTCTGAGGAGCTGTAGAGGTCGCAATCTCTACGGTGGGTGTTCCGGGGGATGCCAGAACTCATCAAATTGGAGCTGTTCTAACCAGCGCTGCAGTTGAAGGATTTAAGGCAAATCTTGTGTTTAGGGAAAATGAGAAGAAGCTAGAAGAGCAAGGGGAACAGTTTGTGGCATTTTTGCCTTCAAGGTGAAGGGCGGGGGGTAAAGAAGCCATCTGGGGGATGTGAAGACTGGCAAAGGATCAGTGCTTCCCGGCTCAGATAAGAAGGCTGTACAATCACAATAGCCGAAACCGGTTTGGCTCAGTGGTAGAGTGTTGGTCTGCGGACTCAAGGGTCCCAGGTTCGATTCCGGTTAAGGGCATGTACGTTGGTTGCGGGCACATCCCTGGTGGGGGGTGTGCAGGAGACAGCTGGTCGATGTTTCAACGATGTTTCTAGCTCTCTCTCTCTCTCTCCCTTCCTCTCTGTAAGAAAATCAATAAAATATATTAAAAAAAAAAAGAAAAAGAAGGCTGTACAATCACAATAGCCAACTTGGATTGGATGGCTTTAATGGCGGGTAAATGAATCCCCAGTGGGCCTTCTTTCAAGGCAAATTGAAAATAATTGGCAACATGGGTCTCACTATGAAGTTACAAAATCTTCAGCTCTAGCCGGGCAAAGCTGAGCTGTGAAGAACTACCTTTGGAACTCAAGATGAAACGTAAGAGACGTATAAGAACTTACACTGAAACCATGCATTGGCAAATAGCATGAGATTGGTTTTAAAATGTGTGCGAACAGCCAAAACCGGTTTTGCTCAGTGGATAGAGCATCGGCCTGCAGACTGAGAGGTCCCAAATTCAATTCCGGTCGGGGGCATGTACATTGGTTGCCGGCACATCCCCAGTGGGGTGTGTGCAAGAGGCAGCTGGTCGATGTTCCTCTCTTATCGATGTTTCTAGCTCTCTATCCCTCTCCCTTCTGCTCTGTAAAAAATCAATAAAATATATTTTTAAAAAATAAAATAAAATAAAATGTGTGCGAACAATCTTTTTTTCCCTAAGCTCCGGGTGAACAGAGTCTGATGGAATACTATTGCTTTCATGAATTGCATACAACTATGTATTACAAAGGTAATATGGTAATTATGGTTTTGGAGTAAAACTGAGCTCCAGAATTAAATTAAGAACAGCAAAATCTGCCCTAACCGGTTTGGCTCAGTGGATGGAGTGTTGGCCTGTGGGCTAGGGGGGTTCCCAAGTTCGATTCCCGTCAGGGGAATATACCTTGGTTGCGGGCAAAACCCCAGTGGGGAGTGTGCAGGAGGCGGCTGATTGATGCTTCTCTCTCATTATGTTTCTATCCCTCTTCCTTCCTCTCTGTGAAAAATCAATAATATACATATATATAAAAGAACAGCAAAAACGAAAACTATGTAAACATCCCCAGTAGGGGGTGTGCAGGAGGCAGCTGATCAATGTTTCTCATTGATGTTTCTAACTCTCTATCCCTCTCTCTTCCTCTCTGTAAAAAATCAATAATATATATATTTTTAAAAATATATATATTTTATTGATGTTTTAACTTCGTCCCACAAATGCTCAATTAGATTGATATCTGGTGATTGAGGGAGCCACCTAAGCAAGGTAAAGTCTCCCTCTTGTTCTTGAAACCACTACGAGCACTGTGACACGGCCCATTGTCTTGTCAGAAGGAACCATCTCCATTGGGGATGTGCCCGCAACCAAGGGACATGAACTTGACTGGAATTGAACCTGGGACCCTTGTTCAAGTCAAATCAACGACCAGGGGTTGAACCTGTCTTTATGGGGTCCCCTTGAAGGTCGATTTATTAGTGTCTTAAGAGTCCCTTGTTTTTTTGTTTTTTTGTCCCATATTTCCACATGCTTGTTAGCTTCCCTGAATCAAAATTTTTAATGAATTATGACAAATTTTTTGTTTGTTTTGTAAATATGTCTACTGGTTTCTGAGAGGGAGAGAAACATCAGTGAAAAAAGAGAATCATCGCCCTAACTGGTTTTAATGTGTTCCTTTTATTTTTGTGTCTTGGTGAACTCAAAAGAGCCCATTAAGAACTCAGTGGCAAGAACATGGTAAAGTCTCCCTCATGTTCTTGAAACCACTCCATAAGGCAGTTGGTTCCACAACTATCAAATCTCACTGAACTGGACAGCGCTATTCATCAGGCATGGTGTCAGATTCCTTGCATCTACTCTACATCTCGTGGAGTCAGTGCCAAGAAGAATCGCCACAGTAAAAAGGTGGCCCAATGAAATACTGATGGGGTGGTCATAATAATCTGGCCACTCAGTGTATATCAAAGGCCTGGTGCATGAATTCGTGCATGGGAGGGATCCAGCTAGCCTTGCCAGGGGGAGGGGACAAGGGTGGTTGGCCAGCCTGCCTGCAAGTCCAACTCCTGGTCAAAGGGACAATTTGCATATTAGCCTTTTATTATATAGGATATACACTGAGTGGCCAGATTATTATGCGTTCAGAGATCATAATAATCTAGCCACTCAGTATATATTGTTATAACCTTAAAATATATATTTAAAATATTTTCATTGATTTCAGAGAAGAAGGAGAGGGAGAATCATTGATTGGCTGCCTCATGCATGACTCAAACTGAGAATGGAGCATGCAACCTGGCATATACCCTTGAATAGAATCAAACTTGGTACCCTTCAGCCTGTAGGCTGATGCTCTATACACTGAGCAAAACCAGCTAGAGCCTTAAAATATCTTAAGTAGCTCCCATGGTCACAACAAAAATAAAAGGAACATTAAAAGGGACAGAGTTGCGTATTGTAAATTACAGACTCCACATTTCTAGAAATAAATATATATCCAATGAATTTCTCAAAATATGATATACAAGACCAAGTCACAAAGTTATCTGTGTCCCTGTACAGGAACAAAAATTAATACTAAGTAACAAATTAATGGTGTAATTACATGAATAACAGCATAAAGAAAAAGAAAATAACAGTTTACTTCATGAAGAAGGTGCATGATTTGAATGCTGCAAAGTATATATATTGCTGGCTGCCATCGTACTTCTAGGTATAGATCAGAAAATATTCACAAAGGATCTGAAAGAGCATTTGTGTCCATTATAATGTTATTCACAAGAGGCTTCCACTGATGGGAACAACTCAAATTTCCATGGAGAGTTGAATGAAGAAAATTTACCATATACATGCAATGGAATGTTTTTGTGCCATAAAAATAAAAATAGATATTGTCACCAGATACCACAAAGAGAAACGTTGATGACAATTTTTAAGTGAAGCACACAAGTCACAAAAGACAGACACTACAGGATTTCCCTCAGGTGAGTAATCAAATGTAGTCCACGTTATAGAAAAAAAGAATGGTAGTTATGAACCTTGCTTTTAAAGCAAATGAGGAAGTAGTGGTTTAATAGAGAATGCGAGATTTCTACAAGATGGAAGTTTTCAGAGGACAGATACACAACACAGGCAGTTAAGCATCTACCCTAGAAAGCAGAAGGCCCTAGAGATGTTAAAACAATAAAGGAAACAAAACCCTGTGGGTGGAGTACGAACTCGGAAAGGAAGTCATCCTCACCCAGGGAGGCCAGGTTGCTGCAGTTCTCCAACATCACATCCAGGTACAAGTTCCGCTGAGCTGGGTCCAGGCATTCCCACTCCTCCTCAGAGAAGTCTATGGCCACATCCCTGAAGGTCAGCAGTCCCTGAAAGAAAAGACACATTTACCAAGAGGTCACCAGAGAAGGTCATAATGTCACCCAACATGAAAACAGGGTTAGAAGAGGTTTGGCCCTAGGGCAGTAACCTTGAATCATCCAATAAGACCACTTTGCCCCAGTAACATTCTCTGATGTGACAAATAAGGATGAAACATGTCCACCAATCCATGGTACAGAATTTTCTTTTCAGAAAACTAAACTTTAAAATTAAGGCATGGCCCTAACTGGTTTGGCTCAGTGGATAGAGCGTTGGCCTGCGGACTGAAGGGTCCCAGGTTCGATTCCTTGGTTGCTGGCACATCCCCAGTAGGAGGTGTGCAGAAGGCAGCTGATCGATGTTTCTCTCATTGATGTTTCTAATTCTCTATCCCTCTTCCTTCCTCTCTGTAAAAAAATCAATAAAATATATTTTAAAATAATAATAATAATAATAATAATAATAATAATAATAATAAATTAAATTAGGCATGGACACAGGCATATGGACCTCTGAGTGCTGTGTTTGCATCATTCGGGATCAGCGGTGTATATTTCTCAGCTGGAGATGACATGGTGAGTCAGAAATATAAGCACTTTTTCAAGTGTAATATAAACAATGATTGCACTTTTCTAAAAATACAGATTGTGCTCCATGCTCTGCGATGGGGCCTCTGTTTCACATGTGTAAGAAATTCACTTTTTACTTGTGATACCAATGTTACCGGATCACATGCCAAGTGTCTGAATACACAAAAAATGAAAACACAGGAAAAAATTCACAAATAACTTTGAACTCAAGGGGTTCGTTAATGGGATTTACAGTGATCATGGAATAACAGCCAAAATCCTATTTAAAATGTCACTATGAGTGATCTTAGAACAAGACTATTCTGCCTGGTCCAGAGGGTGCGCCTCAGTGCTTGACCACTGACCCATTAACCAAGAGGTCACTGGTCAGGGCACATACCAGGGTTACAGGATAGATCCTAGCGCGGGGCGTGCAGAATGCAGCCAACAAATGATTCTCTCATCATTGATGTTACTCCCACTCTCTCTTTCTCTTCCTTTTGCAATCAATAAAATTATACGTTAAGAAGGTGGGAGGGAAATAGAGAAACTGCTGACATTGACTATCGTAAGAAAACAGGAAAGCCCTGGCTGGTTTGGCTCAGTGGAAGGAGCGTCGGCCTGCGGACTCAAGGGTCCCAGGTTTGATTCCAGTGAAGGGCATGTGCCTTGGTTGTGGGTGTATGCCCAGTGGGGAGTGAGCAGGAGGCAGCTGATAGATGTTTCTCTCTCATCGATGTTTCTGGCTCTCTGTCCCTCTCCCTTCCTCTCTGTAAAAAAATTAATAAAATATATTTTTTTAAAAAGAAAATAGGTAAGAAATAAGAAAAGGAAAACAACCTAAGCAAAATATGAGAAGTAGAGAAATATATTCGAAGATGTTAGAGGAAAAGCAAACACAGCCTCATCTCTTACCTGAGAAGCACCCATTTGGTCCTGGTTCCTGATGCTGGTCCTGGAATGTCTTCTCGGGTGACAACTGAAGAGTCCCAGAATGTGCCGTCAATGGCGTCCGCACAGCCCGTTAATCAGCTCACCTCACACCCACAGTCAGAAGGACCTGGAAATGAGGAAAGAGCCGTGCTCGCCTGTGTTTGTAACAGGAGAGAGTCAGGAACAATGAGCTCCTACATGTGAGGTGTTTTATTCTCTCTTCCAAAGACTCATTTGTCTATCCTTCCAAAGACTTCCACAATCTCCTGTAGCAATGAGAGCCTGTACTGATTTCCTGGAACACCTAACCAACAGAGCACCGCTCACTTCCCCCAAAAGTCCCAGCACACCTGAGACCTGTGGGTAGTGTGGTGGTGTCCCAGCACAGCTGCTCCAAGTCCTTACATTCTTCTGACTACACCATGTGTCAGAGCAGGATCCATTTCTCCAGTAGTGCTTACTCCTAAGTCCTGCCCATAGGCTAACAGTGAGATCAGGTTCCTCCTTGAACCCTGCTTGCTGAACTAAGTGTTGGGAACTTACTCGTAGTCTAAGTTCTTCCTTTATCCTCAGCTCAAGTACAACCACGGAGTGGTTTGAGCACCTCTGCCAAGGGCTGGACCATCTTGAACACCAAATAGTAGAAGGAGAAGCCATGAGAAGTGGTGGGTATATAGAGTCTGTATTATAGGAGCTAATGGCCCTGTAGGCACTGCTAACAATGAGCCATCAGACAAAACAGCTCTTCACAACAGTTCTATACAGGCAGGCGCACACAGGCTGATAAACAATTACATCTTTCCCACAAAATAGCAGTAGCCTCTATACCCACAGAATCAATAAGCAGCAGTGTTCTCTGTGCCTACATCTATCTTCTGAGCAGCCTCATGCTGCCTCTGGCCTGATGCATGAAATTCATGCACATTAAGAGGGGATTCATTAGAGGAAATAATTTAATATTGGTATTTTCCCTTTTTTTATGATGATGATAGTCGCTTTATTTATTTTTTTCATTTTTTATTAATATATTTTATTGATTTTATACAGAGAGGAAGGGAGAAAGTTAGAAACATCGATGAGAGAGAGTCATCGATCAGCTGCCTCCTGCACACCCCCCACTGGGGATATAACCGCAACCAAGGCACATGCCCCCGACCGGAATCGAACTCGGGACCCTTCAGTCCCCAAGCCAACGCTCTATCCATTGAGCCAAACCGGTCCTGGCTATTTTTTTCATTTTTTTATTAAGGTATTATATGTGTACATATCTTACCATTGATCCCCCACTCCCATACATGCCCTCCCTCCCCAGTTTTGCGTCCATTGGTTAAGCTTATACGCATGCACACAAGTCCTTCGGCTGATCTACCTCCCCCATATCTTTGCCCTTTCTCTATAATAGAAGTATCAGAGACGAAAGAAAATTAGTAAAATGTATATGAAAACCTTCCTCCTGTCAGAGTCTGGGGATCACCACAAGACCCAGAGTCGCCGAAACTGGTTTGGCTCAGTGGATAGAGCGTCAGCCTTCGAACTGAAAGGTCCCGGGTTTGATTCCGGTCAAGAGCATGTACCTTGGTTGCGGGCACATCCCCAGTGGGGGGTGTGCAGGAGGCAGCTGATCGATGACTTTCTCTCATCGATGTTTCTAACTCTCTATCCCTCTCTCTTCCTCTCAGTAAAAAATCAATAAAATATATTTAAAAATAAAATAAAATAAAATCACTAAAAACTTATAATAAGCCAAAACCCATCAGCCTGAGGACTGAAGGGTCCCAGTTCGATTCCAGTCAAGGACATGTAACTTGGTTGTGGGTACATCCCCAGTTTGGGGTGTACTGGAGGCAGCTGATCGATGATTCTCTCTTCTAGTCCTATCTAATAAGAGTAATATGCAAATTGACCATGCCTCCACTATACCCACAAGCCACGTCCATCAATCAAGAGTGAGTATGCAAATTAACCTAACCAAGATGGTTGTGGCCACTGAGAGAACAGGAGACTTGAGTTGCCCCTGACAATGGAGGAAGCCAAGCTTTCCGCCTATGCTGGCCTGCCATGGCCTCCGCTCAAGGCTAAAAAGTTTCAATTATGGAAGATGAATTCCAAATACCAGGGCCTCTCCTTGGGTTGCCAGAGGGCGTGGCCAGCCTGCAAACCACCACAGGCCCCTCACCCAGGCCACCCCATACTCCAAGGGAAGCCCCCATTCCTGATCTGGGACACCATTCAGGGCAAACCAGCAGGCCCCCACCCATCACCAGGCCTCTATCCTATCTAACAAAAGAATGTGCAAATTGACTGTCATTCCAACACACAAGATGGCTGTCCCCATGTGGTTAAAGATGACTGCCCCATGTGGACACAAGATAGCCACAAGATGGCCAGCAGGGGAGGGCAGTTGGGAGGGACCAGGCTTGCAAAGGAGGGAAGTTAGGTGTGGTCGGACCTGGAGGGGAGGGCAATTAGAGGAGGGCAATTAGGCTGGCAGAGGAGAGAAGTTAGGGGCAACCGGGCCTACAGGAAAGGGCAGGTGTGAGTGACCAGACCAGCAGGAGAGGGAAGTTGGGAGGGACCAGGCATGCAAGGAAGGGCAGTTGAGAGCAATTAAGCCTGCAGGAGAGGGAAGTTAGAGGTGACCAAGCCAGCAGAGGGAAGTTGGATGCAAACAGGCTGGCAGGGGAGCAGTTAGACATCAATCAGGCTGGCAGAGAAGGGGTTAGGGTGTGATCAGGCTGGCAGGCAGAAGCCGTTAGGGGCAATCAGGAAGGAAGGCAGGCAGGCAGGCAAGCAGTTGGGAGCAAGCAGTGCTGGACTGCTCAGTCGGAAATCCATTGTGAGTTCCTAGATTGGAGAGGGTGCAGGATGGGCTGAAGGACACATCCTGCGTGCACAAATTGCGTGCACTGGGCCTCTAGTAAGTATATAACAGGCGAACCTTATTAAGTGGAAATTTATAATTCTCAAATGTTTAAATAATTCAGTTGTTAACCATATAAACACACAAGCCCGTATATCACAACTTAAGGTTCTTTCCTATATGTCACTTCCCTGTCCCTCCATTTTTCTCCCCTTTTCTTTCTTTTCTTTTTTTAATATATATTTTATTGATTTTGTACAGAGAGGAAGGGAGAGAGATAGAGAGCTAGAAACATCGATGAGAGAGTCATCGATTAGCTGCCTCCTGCACACCCCCCACCGGGGATGTGCCCGCAACCAAGGCACATGCCCTTGACCGGAATCGAACCCGGGACCCCTCAGTCCCCAAGCCAACGCCCTATCCATTGAGCCAAACCGGTCTCAGCTTTCTCCCCTTTTCTCTCTGTCTGTCCCTACACCTGGACCATGAACCTCCTGAAGCCCATTTCCCTCCGGGGCTCTCTCTCCTGGTCTCTCTGCTCCCATCTCCACACACGTCCGCATCTTTCCCTCCCCACGCACGTGTCCCCCCTGCTGCCTGTTACAGTCTGTCCTGCCCCCCACAGCTGGCTGCCTCCGTGCTGCTCCCCCTCTGCTCCCCCATCCTCTGGGGACCCCTCTCCGCCCTCCTCCTCCCCCGGGTCTGTCTCTCCCTCCCTCTCCTGGCCCCCAGCCCGGCCCCCGCCCCGTCACCGCCCCCACAAAGCCCTCCCTGGGGCAGGTCCCTCTTCCGGGGACACCGCGTTCTCCCCGAGCCCACCCCCTGGCACTGGCCCCCTGGCACTCAGACCTGATTAATGGGGGGCCTGGGAAGGCGGGCGCAGACCCCCAGGCCGGGCCATCCGGGCTCTTTGGGCAGAAAACGCCGGGCGGGGGAGGGGCAAAGGGCGGGAACCACTGACCAGACCTCCAGCCCCGCGGGGGCCCCGGCGGCCCCGGGAACGGTTTTCGGCGGAAAAACCACGCGGCGGCCGGGCCCACAGCCAGAGGCGGACAGACCGCGGGCCGGGCCTCAGTTTCCCCCAAAGGAACGCGGCGCCTCCACTGCGCAGCCCCCCGGGACGCGCACTCACCGCCGGGAGGGGCTCCGGGCGGGGCTCCCACACGGACTTCAGCGCCCGCAGCGCCCTCAGCCCGCCCTGCGGGGAGGGGCCGGGAGCAGCGGCTTTAAAGCACAGACACCGCCTCAGGGAGCCGCCACCGGCCCCTCCGCAGCCGCTTCCGGCTGCCAGGACTGCGCATGCGCCTCCCTGCGGGGGCGGGGCCTGAGCGGAGCGGCTCCGCGGTGAGGGCGGGGCCAGAAGGAGGGGGCGGGGCGGAGCCAGGGGGCGGCCTGGGCCCCTCCTCTCCTCCCACAGGGACAGCCCTTCCTGGGGGAGTTCCCGTTAATTTTGGGTTTGGCTGGTGGCGTGGCTGTGGCAAGATTCACAAGGAGAGAAGAGACAGGAGCAGAGAGGGCGGTGATTTTACTTTTTTTTTTTTTTTTTAATATATCTTATTAATTTTTTACAGAGAGGAAGAGGGATAGAGAGCTAAAAACATTGATGAGAATCATTTCCTCCTGCACACCTCCTACTGGGGATGTGCCCACAACCAAGGTACATGCCCTTAATCGGAATCCAACCCAGGTCCTTTCAGTCCATAGGCCAATGCTCTATCCACTGAGCCAAACCGGTTTCGGCTGTTATTTTACTTCTTTAAAGGGAGGAGAGGCTGAAATCGGTTTGGCTCAGTGGTAGTGTCTGTCTGCAGACTGAAAGGTCCCAGGTTTGATTATGGTCAAGGGCTTGTACATTGGTTGCGGGCACATCTCAGGTAGGGGCTGTGCAAGAGGCAGTTGCTCGATGTTTCTCTCATCGACATTTCTAGCTCTCTATCCCTATCTCCTCCTCTCTGTAAAAAAGTCAATAAAATATATTAAAAAAATAATAAATAAAAGAAATAAAGGGAGGAGAGGGCCAGGTGCCCTTTGATGGCACGAGGCTCCCCACATAGACGGGCTGTTCGGTTAGGGTAGGGGTGTCGAACTCAATCAGAGAAGGGGCCAAAATCTAAAATCCAGCCTAAATCGCGGGCCGAATGGTTTACTGAACAGTCATAAACTGTCATTGTGATGGAAACGCAGCGGAGTGCAGTGATGACAGCGCGGTGCGGGCCACATTGCAAGGCCTGGCGGGACGGATTTGGCCCGCGGGCCTTGTGTTTGACACATGTGGGTTAGGGTGTCAGCAAGTAAAGACAGCTGTGGCAGAAGCATAAAGAGGGGAGGAGGAATCTGGAATTCACACAGAAGTTTCCAGATCCCAGAGGCTGTGCTTAGAGCTACTGGCTGGCCTGCCCTTCAGCTGCACATGCCCCAGGGAGGTGTCTTTCCCAGGATCTTCACAGGCCGGTTACACATTCTCACAGGGAAGTTACAGTGAATTGAAAAGGCGGGCAGATTGGGTTTGAAACCAGAAACTTTCTGCCTCCAATTTGCCTTAAATCCTCACTGAGGAAGAGGTGGGAAGGGGGAGGGCAACCTGCTCTCTCAACCCCTCCCTGTCTCCACATCTGAATGGAGAGGCAGCTTGAGTTAGGGAAGCAGGTGGATTGGGGTGTCAGAGACAGACCCAGACATCCATTCAGGGTTAGGCAGATGAGATAAGACCCCATCCAATACGGTGGGGGAGATAGTTTTATTCAGGTATTTTCAAGGGATAAAAATTTTGCTTGTAAGTTATGTTCTTTTGAAGTTTTTGTGTTCTGGGAGTGCATTTTTAAATGAATGTCATTTAGTAGTCCCTATGACCTACATAATGTACTAAATTATCTCTTGTTAATATTCCTTATATTTGGAAAACAATGATTTAAAAATCAACAATATTTGTTATAAAAATGATAACTATTATCAGTTTACTTAGTCTCATCACCAGTTTTTATTTTGATTATTTTCCAATATTGTAATGAATATAGTTATTCCCTAGAGTTTTATGAAACTTTATGTTAGAGTAAGTAATTTAGAGTAAATCAGACCAGGGGGTTATGTTTAACCTATGTAAGTATTTTATCACTTTAGGCCAATAAAATATCAACCCTCAGTATTGCCACCCAAAGCCAGAAAACACACCACACATAACAAATAAAAGTTTCCCTCTAGAATGAATTCCAATGTGAGGAATAATCTACAGATGCTGATTAAAGACTGCAGGACATTGTTTAAAGTTGTATTGTTCCTCCCCAGTATGAATTCTGATGTTGGTTAAAGTTTGCATACTGAGTAAACTTTCCCAATTTATTTAAGTCTGCTGGGCTTTGATCCAGTATTAATTATCAGATGTTGTACAAGATATAAATGGGGATATACACTTTGACATATGCCTCATAATTTTTAAGGCATAATTTAATCATTTCCAATGATGCTCCAACCATGGTGAAATCTTTGGATGAAAACTTTATATTATTCTTATTTTTCTTTAGAGTAATTTCAAAATGTTCATTAAGTATGACCACAGCCTAATGTCATTCTCACATTTTATACAGTGTAAGGCTTCCCTTCATTATAAAACCTCTGATATTCTGTAAATTTTGAGCTATGGATAAACGCTCTAGTCCATTCTCTACATTTGTGTGGTCTCTTTTTGTTCTAAAGTTGATCAATTAGAGTAATAGATTGCCTTTTAAAGACTTTTCACATTTCTCATATACATAAGGCTCCTTTCCAGTATGAATTCTGTGATGTTCATTAAGTTCTCACTGTGGTCAAGGACTTACCATGCTCCTCACGTCTGTGAGACTTCTCTCAAGTATGAACTCTGCTGTACAGTAAGGCAGGAACACTGATAAATGGCTTTGTTACATTTTCTACACGTGTAAGAATTCTCTACAGAGTGAACTCTCTGATGCTTAGTAAGGATTGAGGACCTGCAAAAGGCTTTGCCACATTCTCTACATTTGAAAGGTTTCTCTCCACTGTGAACTCTCTGATGCCTAGTAATGTCTGAGGACCTGCCAAAGGATTTGCCACATTCTCTACATTGATAAGGCTTCTCCCTCGTGTGAATTACCTGATGAGCAGAAAGGTGTGAGTACTGGCTAAAGGCTTTGCCACATTCTTTACATTCATAAGGCTTCTCACCGGTATGAACTCGCTGATGTTTATTAAGGGATGAGGATTGTGTGAAGGCTTTACCACATGCTCTGCATTTGTAAGGCTTCTCTCCGGTATGAACCCGTTGATGTCGATTTAGCTTTGTGGACTCACTGAATGCTTTGCCACATTCTCTACATTTATAAGGCTTCTCTCCAGTATGAACTCTCTGATGCATTGTAAGGTTTGAGCTCCTGGGAAAGGATTTGCCACATTCTCTACATTCATAGGGCTTCTCTCCAGTATGAATTATCGGATGCAGAGTAAGCAATGAGGGCCAGCGAAAGGATTTGCCACATTCTCTACCTTTCATAGGCTTCTCTCCAGTATGAACTCTCTGATGCAGAGTAAGGGTTGAGGACCAGCTAAAGGATTTGCCAAATTCTCCACAATTATAAGGTTTCTCTCCAGTAGAAACTCTCTGATGCAAAATAAGGTTTGAGGGACAGCTAAAAGCTTTCCCACATTCTAAACGTTCACAAGACATTTCTCCCGTATGATTTCTATGATGTTCAGTATGTCTTGAGGATTGACTAAAGTCTGCTCCATTTTCCATGAGTTTGTATAATTTTGCAATAGTATGAATTCTTCCTTTATGTACATTAAGAGATGAATGACATTTAAAGGCTTTGCCAGATGCTTTACATTTGTAAGACTTCTCTGCAGTATGAATTTTCTGATTTACACTGCAACCTGAAGGCGAAATACAAATTTTACCAGAATCTTTACATTTATAAACTTTTTCTCTATTATGCATTTTTTTTCATTATATTTAGATGAAATATTTGATGGAAAACTCTACAATATGGATTGCATTTGTAAGCCTCTTCCCCAGTATAAATAATCTGTTGTTCAGGGAAATTTGAAGATTGCTGAAAAGACTGGATACATTTACATCCTTTGTGTGTCTTCTCCACAATAGGCATAACCTGATTGGACATTTGTTCAAAGAGTTTTCCACTTTTATAATGCTCCTCTGCACATTCACTTGTCTGATTAAGATATAATTCTTGCTTAAAGTTTTTCCAATGTTAAATCCATTGATAACTACTATCTCCATTATGTGTACTCTGATGATAATGGGAGACAGAAAGACCTTTAGTGACAGTTATAATTTCATTAAACATGTACACTTGTTCCATAAGTACCATTTTGTGATACTCATGAAACCAAGATAGTTGCATTAAAAAACCTTTTCTAGGCTGGCCAGTTTGTCTCAGTGAATGGAGCGTCGGCCTGCGGACTGAAAGGTCCCGGGTTCAATTCTGGTCAAGGGCATGTCTCTCTCTCTCTCATCAATATTTCTGGCTCTCTATCTCTCTCTCTTCCTCTCTGTAAAAAATCAATAAAATGTTTAAATATATATATATATATATAATATGTATATATATATAAAATATATGGAATATATAAAAATATATAGAATATATAAAAATATATATATATTCTGGCCTGGACCCGAATCTGATCTAGGAACATTCAGTCTGCAGGCCACTGAGCCTATCCACTGACCTAAACCAGCTAGGGCCTAATTTGTTCCTTGAGAGCAAGAATCTACCATAGAAAGCAGAAGCTCCTTAGAGATGTCATAATAATAAAGGAAATAAAATCATGGGAGTGGCGTAGGAACTCCAGAAGGAAGTCATCCTCACCCACTGAGGCCAGGTTGCTGTAGTTCTCCAACATCACATCCAGGTACAACTTCCGCTGAGCTGGGTCCAGGCACTCCCACTCCTCCTGAGAGAAGTCGATGGCCACATCCCCGAAGGACAATGGTCTCTGAAGGAAACACACATTTACCAACAGGTCACCAGAAGAGATCAGAATGTCACCCAACATGAAAACAGTGTTAGGAGGAGAGGTTTTGATCTGTGGGGTATCCAAGTTCTCAGATGTTTCCACATATGTAAGAAGCTCACTTTTTACTTGTGATGTCAATGTTTCCACATTAAGTGCCATGCTTACGAACACACAGAAAAAGAAAACGGAGGAAAAAATTCATACCGAACTTTTAACTAAAAGGGTCGTTAATGGCATAAACAGTTCTCAAGAAATAGGACACATATGAACCATAATCCTAGTGGTAAATACAACATGAGTAATCTTAGAATAAGATTATTCTTCCTGGTTCAGCTGATGTATCCCAGTGGTTGAGTGCTGCCCCATGAACAAGAGGTCAGATTTGATTCCTGGTCTGGGCACACAACCAGATTGTGGACTCAATGCCAGTGTAGGGTGTGCAGGAGGCAGCCAATCAATGATTCTCTATCATCATTAATGTTTCTATCACTGGCTACCTCACTCCTCCTGTCTGAAATCCATAAAAATGTACTTGGAAAAAGAAAAGAAAGAATAGGTGAAGTAATGCTAACAGTTTAGGCATTGAGGCACACATTTTACAACTATGAAATCAAGATGGTTTAGTGATTCTGTAAATCTCATGAGTCTATTTGTGTATGTTTCCTTTTGTGTTTTATAAAACAAAACTAGAGGGCTGCTGCACGAATTCATGCAGGAGTGGGGTCCCCTGGACGGTGGGATCAGGCTTAAACTGGCTCTCCAACATTCCTCAAGGGGTCCCAGATTGCAAGAGGGTGTAAGCCAAGCCGAGGGACACCACTGGTACATGATCAGGGCTTGGGAGTGAAGCAGGAAGTTGGTCAGCTGGGGAGGGACCTCGGGAGGCTCCAGGGCATATTTGGCTCATCTTGCTCATCCCATTCAGATGGATCCCAGCAGCAAGCTAACCTACCAGCCAGAGCCTATGGCCCCTCAGGGTCAGTGCACATCATAGCTAGCGGTTGAACAGCCTTAGCATATCATTAGCATATTACACTTTGATTGATTGAATGGCTGACTAGATAACTGGACACTTAGCATTCTAGGCCTTTATTATATAGGAGGATAAAAAGTGAAACATAAGGATACAAAACAAGTTAGACTTATTATTTGCTTTTTGTGGTTGTAAATTCTCACCTGAGATTTTTAGCATTGACTTTTCAAAAGTGGATGGCATGGACACAGAGCCATGAAAGGGAAGACAGGGGAAGGGAGAGAGAGAGATCAATGTGGAAAAAACACATGGATTGGTTGCCTGCCATAGGTCCCCAGGACCTAGTTGCCCTAAACCAGGAATCAAAATATCCACCACAGATCCACACCAGCCTGGGGGAACTAATTTTTCTTACTAGTACATTTCTTTCAAAAATTTTATGTGTCATTAGTGCAGAGTTATGTTGTAGAAACTTAATGTAACTGAACATATATTAATAATATAATTCTTGAGAACTTTCTAGAAAATAGAAAAAGTGATAATGAAGGGTTTGTCAGTGACATGATGATAAAATATAATGAAAATTTAAAGAATCAAGGCCTGATTGTTTAAAGCTCCCATGAAAAAGCCAATGATCTGTAGAAAATAAAAGTAAGTCCTTCGGCTGAAACCGGTTTGGCCCAGTGGATAGAGCCTCGGCCTGGGGACTGAAGGGTCCCGGGTTCGATTCCGGTCAAGGGCATGTACCTTGGTTGTGGGCACATCCCCAGTAGGGGGTGTGGAAGAGGCAGCTGCTCGATGATTCTCTCTCACTGATGTTTCTAACTCTCCATCCCTCTCTCTTCCTCTCTGTAAAAAGTCAATAAAATATATTTTTTTAAAAAGTCAGTCCTTCGTTTTAAAAAGCAAACACGAAGGAAAGAAATAAGGAAACGAAAAAAACCTGGAAAGGCAGGAACTTCAGAAGTAGAGAAATATGGAGAGGAAGGAGCCCCAGAGGAATGAAGGGGAGCTGAGAGGAAAAGAGGTCCTGGTGAGCAGGGTGGGGGCCACACAGGAGGAGACACTTCAGACAGAGACACCGGTTCAGAAGAAAAGAGTTGGGGGGAACAAGTGCAGGGACAGAAAGGGGAGTCTAGGGGCAGAGGGAGAAGCAGCACTGATTCGGCCAGCTGTGTGTGACAGGACAGCGTGTAACAGGCACAGAGGAGACTCAGGTGTGGGAAGGGAAAGAGAAATAAATCACCAGATATTAGAGGAAAAGCAAACATAGTCTCTGACCCAGGACACATCTTTTACCTGAGAAGCAGCCATTTGGTCCTGGTCCTGGTCCTGGTCCTGATCGGGGTCCGGCTTACTTTGAGTCACAGAATGTGCCTTCAGAGGTGACCATGCAGCCTGTTAATCAGTTCCCCTCACACGCACAGGCAGAAGGACCTAGAAATGAGGGAAAGACCACGACCTCTTGTCCTTTGTCACAGGAGAAAAACAATGAGCACCTACATGGAGACCACACAGGGAATGTTCTAGTGTCTGTCTTCATGTCTTTCCTTCCAAAGATATCCACGAAGTCCTACAGAAATATGAATGTGAATTGCTGCCTTGACACCCCCAAACTAAACAGAGCAACACCCCCTTACCTACCCTAAGCAAAGCCTACTGCCCACTCTCACAAAGGTGTCCTGCAACCTTCCTGCTAATCGCAGTCCTTACCTTCCAATCACCCGGGGCACCTCTGTAACCAATGATGCCCCACCCAGAGCCCTCTCATAGCCTGGGAGCCCTCAGGGAATATCTGAAATCCTTAGTGTTGTCCTAAAGGTGAGAGAGGGGGAGGTTGGAGGACCTCGCCAGCTGTGTGTCCAGCTTCTGGCTGAGATGCACTAACCCTGGGAGAGGGCCCTGACCACCGGGGGCAACTCCTGCGTTCAATGGCTGCCCCCTGGTGTTCAGTGCGTGTCATAACTACTTGTTGACAGGTCGTTTGATCATAATGCTTGCTTAGGCTTTTTTTATATATAGATGTTTAGTAATGCTTAACTCTAGATTAAATATATTGTCCTATTCTTTATATTTTAACACCATCCCCAGTCCGTATTTCTGATGCTTTGAACATTCATCCTGCCTAAAGCCTTTCCAAATGCAGTTTGCAATTTTTTCTCTAATGTGTAGAACTGATATTAATTTCCTTATATCTGTGTCTTTCTCTTCCCATGCCTGCGTCCCCTCTGCAGCCTCTGATAGTCTGTCCTGTTACGAACAGCTGGATGGCGCTCAGTGCTGCCTCTCCCTCTGCTGTGTCATCCCTAAGCCCCCCTTTCTGTCTCTGCACCTGCTCTCCTAATTCTCCTCTGAACCAGTGTCTCCCTCTGAAGGGCGTCCGCCTGTGTAGCCCCCCCTTCTGCTCACCAGGACCCTCTCCCTCTCAGCTCCCCTTCCTCTCTCTGGCCTCCCCCTCCCCCTATTTCTCCACTTCCTTCCTCCTCAGGCTGCTTTCCCCAGTTACCCCCTCACTCCCACCATCGCCATCCAGCCCCTCCCACACCTCTATGGGCCCTCAGTGGACCCCTCTCCGCCCTCCTCCTCCCCCGGGTCTGTCTCTCCCTCCCTCTCCTGGCCCCCAGCCCGGCCCCCGCCCCGCAGGCACCGCCCCCACAAAGCCCTCCCTGGGGCAGGTCCCTCTTCCGGGGACACCGCGTTCTCCCCGAGCCCACCCCCTGGCACTGGCCCCCTGGCACTCAGACCTGATTAATGGGGGGCCTGGGAAGGCGGGCGCAGACCCCCAGGCCCGGCCATCCGGGCTCTTTGGGCGGGAAGCGCCGGGCGGGGGAGGGGCAAAGGGCGGGAACCACTGACCAGACCTCCAGCCCCGCGGGGGCACCGGCGGCCACGGGAACGGTTTTCGGCGGGAAAACCACGCGGCGGGCGGGCCCACAGCCCGAGGCGGACAGACCGCGGGCCGGGCCTCAGTTTCCCCCAAAGGAACGCGGCGCCTCCAATGCTCAGCCGCCCGGAACGCGCACTCACCGCCGGGAGGGGCTCCGGGCGGGGCTCCCACACGGACTTCAGCGCCCGCAGCGCCCTCAGCCCGCCCTGCGGGGAGGGGCCGGGAGCAGCGGCTTTAAAGCACAGACACCGCCTCAGGGAGCCGCCACCGGCCCCTCCGCAGCCGCTTCCGGCTGCCAGGACTGCGCATGCGCCTCCCTGCGGGGGCGGGGCCTGAGCGGCGCGGCTCCGTGGTAGGGGCGGGGCCAGGTAGCCACGCCCCTGCAGGGATGTGGGGAGGGATGAGCAGGAGCAAGGGGACAGGGAGGTAGAATATACCCTCCTTGTTTAAAGATCCCACGAAACATGCAAGATGACCCAAACCGGTTTATCTCAGTGGATAGAGCGTCGGCCTGCGGACTGAAAGGTCCCAGGTTCGATTCAGGTCAAGGGCATGTACATTGGTTGCGGGCACATCCCCAGTAAGAGGGTGTGCAGGAGGCAGCTGATTGATGTTTCTCTCTCATCGATGTTTCTAGCTCTCTATTCCTCTCCCTTCCTCTCTATTATATAAAAAAAATCAATAAAATACATTAAAAAAAATAGAAGCTGCACATACTTGTGCCAGAATTTACAATAGTTACCACGCCACACCAAATTTCAAGAGGCATGAGAAAATACCAGAAATCAAGCAGCCATCTCTATCAGTAAAGAAATGGGAGAATGGACATTGAGGGACAGCTGGTTCTGTCTGGCCACAGCAACCTCCCCGCTCCATTACAGCCCTTTAGGAGTCCCGAGACCTTCTCTGTGCCATGCACTGTGACCCACTTGGCACCCATGAACTCATTTAGTCTTCACAACCACCCTAGATGGTAGTTATCTCCATTTTACAAAAGACAAAACTAAGTTCAGAGACTGGGTAACCTACTCACGGATACGCAGCCATCAACTGAAAGAACTTGGTATTTAGACCCAGGCTGTCTGGTTCTAAGGCACCTGCCCTTAACCACCACATACTCCGCCGAATTCTGTGATACCGAACTGACCAGAGGACTCTGCTGGCCGGCACCACCCCATGGACCCTCTGTTCCCCGGCCAGCTGCACGCCCCACAGAAACCCCATGCCCTGTAATTAGGACTTCCTGGGAGGGAAGGGCAGAGACCAGGCCCTGACATGGAGCCCCTCCCCCCCATGTTAGTGACGAAGACCAGAGGACCAGCTATTTCTATATCTTTATTTCTCTGTGAAAAGGGAGAAAGAAAGGAATAAAATAAAAATGGCACCGTTGACACAAAAAACCACTGGAGGGGGAGGGAGGAAGGTGGAGGACCGGGCAGGGGGTCCTATGACAGCAGCAGGAACCAGTGACCTGGGACGCTCACCTCCCTTCCCCCGAGGAGGGAGTGGCTGCCCCTTCCTCCCAGGGTCGCTGCCCTGTCCCACCTGGTGCTCCCCCAGCTCCTCGGGAGGCGGACAGTAAGAAGTCGGGTTCCCAGGCTGGGGAGAGGAGGAACCGTGCTGGGTTAGGGGCCTGGGGTTAGACCATGCACAGGGAGTGACAGCCAGAGGCCCCCACTGGCTCCCAAGGAGGGAACGTGGTGGGGCTGTGGACACGAGGCCGGTGTTGGCTCCTCTTCCAGCATCAGGCGAGAGACAGAACTGGGGGAACAGGAACAGGGGGAAGTCAGAGACACAGAAAGGCTCCTGCATCTCCCCCTGCCAGGAGCTGCTACGTGCTTCCTTGCACACACACACACACACACACATCCCCCACCACCACCACCACCACTGGGGTCCCCAAGAACTCAAAGCCTTACCACTCAGGGCCTCCTGGGCAAAGTACTTGACGTCCACATCCTGGTCCTGGGTCAGCTTTTCTAGAATGGGCTTCACCTCGCTCTGCAGTGTGCTGGAAGGACAAGGGGGGGCATGGGGATGGGTGAACCAGGCGGGGGGGGCACAGTGGGGGCAGAGGCCCAGGCAAGAGATGCCCACAAACACAGGCAAACATGGGAATTAAGAAGTCTCCGGGGCCCAGAACAGGCACGGGGTGGTCAGGCAGTCTGGGCAAGTGGGGCGGAGGGTCACAGAACCCACCAGGCTTTCAGTTTGCAGGGCGACGCTCTATCCACGAAGTTAAACTGGCTAGGGCTGAAGGCCAATTATTCATGTTTTCTTTTGGTGATTTTTTTAAAAATATATATTTTATGATTTTTTACAGAGAGGAAGGGAGAGATAGAGAGCTAGAAACGTCAATGAGAGAGAAACATTGACCAGCTGCCTCTTACACACCCCCTACCGGGGATGTGCCCACAACCAACGTACATGCCCTTGTCCGCAATCGAACCTGGGACCCTTCAGTCCGCAGACCGACGCTCCACCAACTGAGCCAACCAGTTTCGGTTCTTTTGGTGAATTATTTTTTTTCTTTTGGTGAATTTTTTAACAAATATGTACCTACTGTTAAGTCTTGAGAATATTTCCTGATACTTTCTTCCGGATCTTTATTATTATTTTAATGTTTTTATTGATTTTAGATAGAAAGGGGGAGAGAAAGAAATTCTGATGAACATTGATCGCTGCCTCCTACACACTCCTACTGGGAACTGGGTCTACAACCTGGGCATCTGGGAATTGAACCAGTGACCTCTTGGTGCATGGGTAGATGCTCAACCACTGAGCAATACCAGGTGGGCAGATCTTTCTTTTTTTTAACTTTCTGATTCTGTTATCTCTAAATTTCTTTTTTTTTTTTTAAATCCTCACCCAAGGATATTTTTCCATTGAGTTTTAGAGTCTGTGGAAAAGACAAGGAAAGACAGAGAGAAATATCAATATGAGAGAAGCACACCAAAATTGGTTGCCTCCTGCACAGGAGCCCTGACCAGGGCCCAGGCCTGGGAGGAGCCTGAGCTAAGACACATGCCCTTGACCAGAATCAAACCTGAGACCCTTTGGTCTGCAGGCAGACGGTCTATCCACTGAGCCAAACTGGCTAGGGCCCTACTTTTTTTTATGCTCTCAGGCAGGAGGTTTTTGCCCCCCCCATGTGCATACCAAACTGACCCAGCCATCTATGGAGAACATGTTTCCCCCCTGAACTGCAGGGACAAGACAGATACACGGGTCTTTTCCCGTGCCCTGAACCTATCCCACGGGCTTTTTGAATATTCTGCCAACAGCTCACTTTCTCACTGCAGCAGAGTCACAGTGAGCCAGTGGCTGAGGATTAAAAATGAAGACCACCACAGCTGGCGCTGCTGGAGCGAAGGGCTGGCCAGCCTCACCTGTTGTCCAGGATGGGCCCTATCTTCTGCAGGGACTTGGCCACGTTGAAGCGGACGTTGGCGACAGGGTCCCCGGCCATCCGCAGCACCGTGGGCAGCATGTGCTTGGTGGTGATTTCCTGCCCGCAGACCTCAGACAGCACCTGCGGGTCAGGGAGAAGCAGAGAGGTGATTATCCGAAGTTCCTGGCTAACGCCATTTCCTCCTTCCTCTGACCAGGCCACCTCGATGGCCACCAGGCCTGAGGGTAAAGCTGAGCAACATGGGGACTCTGAGCCCAGTTACCCAGCCTGGAGACAGTGTATTCTGAAGCCCCCGTGTCACCTAACACCCTCCTAACACCACGGTCTCCCTGCCCTGGAATCGCTCAGGCCAGGTTCCCGGACCATCTCCGTCCTCAGACTTCCCTTCATCCTCTGGGCACGGGCCTTGATTCCTAACCCCGGGATCCCTTCCTTAGTTCAGTAAGGCACGGATAGAAATGATATAACCACAGTTATAACAGCTTTTAAATGTCATCCTTTCATTTCTAGCTATAGTGGATGGTTTCTTGAAATGACTAGAAAGGAGCACTTGCTCTGTAGAGCATAACGGTTCTGAGCCTTTCGCACGGACGGCCGGGCTGTTGGCACAGGCTGATGAGTAAGGTGCCGTGACCGCCAGCACGAACCGTTTCCAGGTGAGAAAAGCAAGCACTGCGGTCAGGTCCGTTTCCCAAGGTGCACTGCTGACACCTAGCAGGGCTAGAATTCAAAACCAAGCCCGTTTCTAGAACCTGCACACTCCCCCTCCTACCATGAATGAACACACTCGCACGTTGGTGGGAAATGAAAGGGTGCCAAGAAAGGTCTGGCTATCACTGCTTCAGTGGGCCAAGTCTCCCTTGACCTGGGGTTCCCACCCCGAAGCCCCTAATGGGGGTGGGGGAAGGGCACGTGCAACGTCTGGCCAGCAGTTCCCCAGGGACTCATCCTGCAACCCAGGTCCCCACCACTTCCCCACCCTGAGGACCCCCCAATCCTCCCTCTGCCAGGTCCGCCTGGCTCCCAGGAATAGGCCGGTGGGCAGGCGGGAGTGCTCACGTTGATACAGAAGAGGGTGGTCATGCGGTGCAGGTAGTTGGGATCCCCAGACATGGCCAAGACCTTGGGGATGATCGTGGCGTGGGCCCACTCCTTCCCGAACTTCTCCACCAGCTTCTTCAGGTTGCTGGTGGCCGCCTCTCGGATGGCATAGACTGCAGGAGGGCGAGAGGCAGAGGGCGGTGACGGACTGATGTGGGTGACAGCCACGCTCACTGCTGCCTCCGGAGCAGCCCTGGGTCTTAGGCTGCAGGGGACCCAATGGCTCCCAGAGGACGGAGGGCTCACTAAGGGCTAAATGTGGGCTTTGCTTTCCTGCAGTGCCTCTCAACAGCCCCCAGACCCGGCTTCCATTACTGTCCACGTTTTTTTTTGTTTGTTTGTTTGTTTTTTTTAGCGGATGAGTTTCATTTTTTTTTTTTAATTGACTTTTTACAGAGAGGAAGGGAGAGAGATAGAGAGCTAGAAACGTCGATGAGAGAGAAACATCGACCAATTGCCTCTTGCACACCCCCTACCGGGAATGTGCCCGCAACCAATGTACATGCCCTTGACCGGAATCGAACGTGGGACCTTCGCTCTACCACTGAGCCAGACCGGTTTCGGCCATTACTGTCCTCTTTTACAGATGGGCCAATGGGTTTCAAGAAGTGATGTGCCCATGCTTGACTGGTGTGACTCAGTGCTTGGGCACTGACCCATGAACCAGGAGGCCGTGCTTGGATTCCTGGTCAGGGCACACGCCTGGGCTGCAAGCTTGATGCCCAGTAGGGGGCCCGCAGTAGGCAGCCAATCAATGATTCTCATCATCATTGATATTTCTCTCTCTCTATCCCACTCCATTCCTCTGTCTAAAACAATAAAAATATATGAAAAACAAAAAGAATTGCTGAGCCCAGGCAAGGATTTAAATATGCAGAAGTTGGAATGGTGCCCGATACAGACAAACTTTTATTTTCACCAGTCTTAGTGAAAACAATGAGCCCTAAGCCACTGGATGAGAAGTTCCTGGTCTCAGAGAAGGAGTGTGCTAGGTGACTTGCTTAAGCTTCAAAAGCCAGGCGGTAAAAGGCAAACCCAGGTCTGTCTCCTCAGCCGCCCTGGGACTTTTCACTATACCAGACCGACCCTGGGAAAAGTGCTATGGCCCCCTCCCACCATGCACTTCCCCGGGATTCTAAAAAACAAGGGAACTGGCCCACCTCTGAGGAGCCTCTGATGTGGGAGAGTGACTCCAGCCTCCCACGGCCCGCACCGGCCCCAGCCAATCTGCCACCGTCTTCCTGGAGCAACCCTTCCCCCCCCTCCAGCCACTGGAGCTACTCACCATGATCCACGAGCCAGGCCATGCACAAGGAGTTGAGTTTCTCATCAAAAAACTCCACCCCCTGCAGGAGAAAAGGAGGTGAGGGATGCGGGAGACTCGGTAGTTCCCAGCAAACCCCCGAGGAACCGCCCCCACACTCACCCCCAGACAGCTTCACCCGAGGGGCTCCTTTCCCTTCTCTTCCTAATCCAGTTCTATTCCTCCCATCCCCACAGCCCTCACAGCCTTCAGGTTCCGGTCACAGCCCGTCACCCAGCACCGGAACCAGAGCCTGGGAGCTCCTCCTCGGCCCGGCCGCTCACTCACCAGCTGCCCAGCCAGCAGCGGCATGTACTCGATGATGGCCAGCCGCACCCGCCACTTGGCGTCCTCAGCCAGCTCCACGATGGCGGGGAGCAGGGACTGGGACAGCTGCCGGATACCGATCACCTCGTTCACGCAGTCCAGGTTGGAGATGATGTTGAGCCGCACCTCTGGGCACTGAGGGGACAGGAGGGGTCTGAGGGGGTGCACTGCGCATGGGGAGCCAGGACAGGGGGAAAACGCTGAGCTACAGCAGCTCTGTATGACAAACATCTCCCGAGGACCCAGTGCTGCCCAGGCCCAGCTCCCGGCCCTGGGGACGCATTAAAGGCCCGAGAAAAGCAAGCTTGAGGATTAGGTGAAAGCAGCTTTTCCTTAAAAAAAAATAAATAAATAAATAATTTTTTCCTTTTAAAGAAAAGCTGCTTTCAAAGCAGCTTTTCAAATCTCAGAATAGCAGCACAAGAAATGTTCAGATAGCCCAGCTGGTGTGGCTCAGTGGTTGAGCAAGAACTGTGAACCGGAAGGTTATGGTTCAATTCCTGGTCAGGGCACATGGCCAGGTTGCGGGCTCGACCTCCAAGTATGGGGTATGAAGGAGGGAGCCAGCCGATCAATGATTCTCTCTCATCACTGATGGTTTTATCTCTCTCTCTCTCCCTTCCTCTGTCTGAAATCAATAAAAAACATTTTTTTTAATGTTCAGTTTGAAGGATTTATAGGAAATCACGGTGCAAAAATATGAAACCCTGGAGAAAACAGACATGCAATAACCCCCTCTGCAGTTTGCTTGCTGGGAGCACTTTGGCTCAGGACTTAACCTTCCCAGGTATCAACCTGTGACATGGAACATCCATCTAGCATCAAAGGTCGGGGGAAGCTATTCAAGTGCCTGCCACAGTGTCTGCTCCACAAAGGGCTGAACACCTGGGGGCTTATCATGACCATTTCTTTTTTTTCTTAATAAGTACATTTTTTACTGATTTCAGAGAGGAGGGAAGACAAGAGAAACACCAAGGATAGGAAAGAATCATTGACTGGCTGCCCCCTGACACCCTCTACTTGGGATCAAGACCGATATCCAGGCATAGGCCCTGATCAGGAATTGAACCATGACCTCCTGGTTCACAGGTCAGTGATTAACCACTGGGCCATACCAGCCTGGCTATCATGACCATTTCTATTACTTTTATCCTCTCTGCTAGCCTTTGAGCTCCATAAGAAACATGTCTCATTGACTCTCCTCTCTCCAGTAACCAACATACTCTGTAACACATAACAGGTGTCCAATACATTTCAGCTGAAAGAATGAACAATGGATAATGAATAAAGAACTCCTGTGGTCTACCAATATTATGAGCACTGATTTATAATACATATATATATACAGACCCCCACCTATGTTTCAGAAAGTATGTGAAGCAACTTATAAGAAAAGGCACATAATCTGGCATATTCCCAAGGACTGGCCTGCTGAAGATCTCTAAGGATCAAAACTGTCTTAGTGTCTGGGCAGTGTCGCTCAGTGGTAGAGCAGCAACCCATGTACCAAGAAGTCAGGGGTTCAATTCCCAATCAGGGCATGACCCAGGATTGCAGGCTCCATCACCAGTAGGGGATGTGCAGGAGGCACAATGATCAATGTTTCTCTCTCATCGATGTTTCTATCTCTCTCCCTTTCCCTTTTCCCCTCTAAAAAATAAAAACATTAAAAAAAATAAAAACAGCCAAAACCGGTTTGGCTCAGTGGATAGAGCGTCAGCCTGTGGACTGAAAGGTCCCAGGTTCGATTCCGGTCAAGGGCATGTATATTGGTTGTGGGCTCATCCCCAGTGGGGGGTGTGCAGGAGGCAGTTGGTCGATGTTTCTCTCTCATCGATGTTTCTAGCTCTCTATCCCTCTCTCCCTTCTTCTCTGTAAAAAAAATCAATAAAATATATTTTAAAAAATAATAAAAAAATAAAAACATATTTTTAAAAAAGTATTACTATTTTTTTTGTACTCTCAATGCCCAGGAAAAGGGCATGACAGATAACTGCCTAATAAGTGGACAAATGACTGCACAGGCCATCATGGCCAGAAACATTCAACTCATCAGAGATCTGGGTGTGTGTTGAGATTCCAGGAGATTCCTGGCCAATCTGGGAAGACAGCTGACTCACCGGTCACGGCTGCAAACCCACAAGTTCCAGAGCCTGTCTGGTGCCCTCACCTCATCCTTCAGCTGAGCCAGGAAGAGGGGCAGGAGGTGCTCGATGGTGTTGTCTTTGCCCAGGATGGGGGAGAGGCCCATGATGACCGAGGCCAGGGCAGATTTGACGTGTTGGTTGGCGTCTGACACCAGCTCCTGGGAGGGAGGGAGAAGGGACAGCCAAGAGGTTAGTGGCCAAGTAACTCCAAATCCTACGAAGCCTTTCCCCCCTGCCCCCCCCGTCTCTCTGGAGCACAGACAGCTCAGGCCACCAGGGGAAATTATTTTGCCTCCCCTCAGGGTCCCCAAATATTTCAAACCCAAGGCGGCCCAGTCCAGAGGGCTGGGAACTCAGTTTGCATCTGGCTGTCCCTAAAGCCCCACCCCCACCCCTTCTTTCTGGCAAGCTCCCGTCTGCTCTGGGCCCCGTTACCTTGATGCAGGGCAAGATCTGGGTCATGATCACATTCTCCCGGCAGTCAGCGGAGAGGTTTTCACAGAATTCTGCGGAAGGGGGAGGGAAAAGGGGGACGTGAGGCCTGTGTCCTGGTTTCACCTCCGGCACCACGGACACCCGCCCGCTTGCTGTGTTCTGGTCGCCAGCACCAACCTTTGACCTTGTGGGAGGCTGCGGCCCTCACCTCGGCCTCACAGTCTTTCATCAGGTTCTGGAAGGCGGGGACCAAGTCTGTCTTGGTGATCTCCGGGCCCACGGCTTTCTGGAGCTGCAGGGAGGGAAGGCGGGGCACAGTGAGAAGGCTTGTGCTCTGGACAAAGGAGACCAAAACCAAAGTCAAAGGCAGCAGACCTAGGGGCAAGAATACGATTCTTGGAGTCACTGCCAAGTTCTAATCCCCGCACCACTGGGTGACCACGGGCAAATTTCTGAGCCTTTGAGCTGTGGGTTACTCACTGGTGGGGGGGTCAGCTGGGTAGGGCAGTGGTCACGTGTGTGGGTCTGGAGACCAACTGTCTGGCTCAAATTCTTACTCATACTTATCAACTGTGTGCACTTGAATAAGTCACTTTATATCTCAAGGCAAAATGAAGGCTACAAGGGTACCTGCTGCATGGCAATACAATCTATGTGAAAGAAATAATAAAAGGGACCTCCATACTGCTCAGGCAACCTGGGTTGGGTTTCTGTTACTAATCCAAAATATTCCAAGGCTATAGCAGCTCTCGCTGTTTGAGATATATATATAATATATATATAGTGTGTGTGTGTGTGTATTTTTTTAAAGTATGTTTTTATTGATTTTAGAGGGAGAGAGAGAAACATTGATGAGAACCATCAATCCACGCCCTACTGAGAATGGAGCCTGCAATCCAGGCAAGTACCCTCACTTGCAATTGAATCGGAGACCTCTCAGTGGGCTGATGCCCAACCAACCGAGAACACTGGCAAGGGCTTTCTGTCTTTCTTTCTTTTTAAATATATTTTATTGATTTTTTACAGAGAGGAAGGGAGAGGGATAGAGAGTTAGAAACATCAATGAGAGAGAATCATTGATCAGTTGCCTCCTGCAAACCCCCCACTGGGGATGTGCCCGCAACCAAGGTACATGCCCTTAACCGGAATCGAACCTGGGACCTTTCAGTCCGAATGCAACACTCTATCCATTGAGCCACACCGGTTTTGGCTTTCTTTCTTTTTTTAACGATCAGTTACCAGTAGCACGTTTGTAATTATGGGGGAAGAAGGCATATGGGGCCCTGCCTGTCCCCCAGCACCAGGGTTGTTCTGCAAAGCTAAGTCTGGAAGACCTGGTAGAAAGCAGGGTGATTCGAGGCTCAGAAGGGAACAAACAACTAGAGACCTTGAAGGGCCCCATGCTACCCTTGTATTGACGTAATGGACACGTACTGAGTGTCCATGTGTGCCCTGCTCTCACAAAGCTGAGCTTTTGTCTAACCCGTGTGGACCCGTCATGCGGTCCAGGAGCCAAGGTACAGAAGGAGCCTCTTCCATAGCGACGCTCCGGCTCCGGCAGCCACAGCCCCACAGCCAGGTGTGCTGACATTTGCACAGGGAAAGCCCACAGCCCTGGGAGAGAGCCTCAGGCTCCGAGTCCTCCCGGCAAACACCAGAGGAAATACTTACAGGAAGAGGGCGATCAGGGCAGAGGCACCAAGGCCTCGCTGGGCGGGCGTGCCCCTCTCCCCCGCTCTCTCCCTGAAGGGCCCCCCTAGGAGCTGGCCCTGACGGTTCCTGATGCATTTGCTCTGGCCTCCATGGGCCCTGTGCACTAGCTGCCCTTCCCGCCTCAGCTCTCACCCACTCATGCTCTACAACCACCTGTGGCACCACCTCCTCTCCTCGGCTCCCACACCCCGCATTCGTGTGGGCCCGGCACCTGTGACACGTGACTATGAAATTCAACCGGACCTTCCCCTTCCGGCTGCCTGCTCCTTGGTGGATGGGCACGTACTGGAGTCACAGACCCTCAGCGCCCAGCAGAGCTGATGCGTGACACTCACTGGTGGGCTCCAAACAAATTCGGGTCCCATGGGAAGAGCACTGTCCTGGGAGTCAGAGGCGTGGGATCTCGTTCCTGTTCTGTTTGCCTGGTGGTGTCCCTCCGACCAGGCAAGCTGTTGGGCGGGGTGATGCGCTAACCCGTGGCGCCCACCAAGATTCACAAGTTGATATCTTAACCCCCAGGACCTCAGAATGTGACTGTATTGGAAGACAGTCTTGAAAGAGTAAGTGAAAGTGCAGTGAGGTCATTGGGGTGGGGTCCTTACAAGAAAGGGAGATTAGGTCACAGACACGCTCAGAGGGACGTCATGTGAGGACACAGTAGGAAATGGCCATTTGCAGCCAAGGAGAGAAATCTCTAGAAACCACCTGGCTGCTGCCTTGACCTCAGAACTGTCGCCTCGTGTGAACTGTGAGGCAACTTGAGCACTCAGCGTGCGGTGCTTTGTTTTGTTTTGAAACTTTTATTCACCATTTAATTTTCCACTTCTGACCTCATCTTTTTATTTTAAAGTATGTCTTTATTGATTTCAGAGAGGAAGGGAGAGGGAGAAATAGAAACATCAGTGATCAAAGAGAATTATTGACTGACTGCCTCCTGCACGCCCCTTTCTGGGGATCTAGCCTGCAACCTGGGCATGTGCCCCTTGACTGGAATCGAACCCGGGATCCTTCAGTCCGCAGGCCGACACTATCCACTGAGCCAGACTGGCCAGGGCAGTGTGGTGCTTTGTGACGGAAGCCCCAGCAAGCTCAATCAGGCTATGTCGTCCCTTTTGTCCAAGGAGAGAGTCTGATCAGGTCAGGAACGCGGACATGCTACCCGTCTCTGCTCCTGGGCCTCTTTCCCACAGACCCTGACCCTCAGAGCCCTCTCCACATGGCGCTTCCGGCTGCCACTGTCAACCAACCAGGTGGGCGTGTGAAGTGAGGACCAATGGGATGTCCACAGAGCTCCCACAGCTCAAACACCCGGCGATTCCACTGTGATAATAGAAAACCCAGCTCCTGCCAAAACCGGTTTGGTTCAGTGGATAGAGCGTCCGCCTGCAGACTGAAGGGTCCCAGGTTCCATTCCGGTCAAAGGCATGTACCTTGGTTGCGGGCACATCCCCAGCAGGGAGTGTGCAGAAGGCAGCTGGTTGATGTTTCTCTCTCATCGACATTTCTAGCTCTCTATCCCTCTCCCTTCCTCTTTGTGGAAAAATCAATAAAATATATATTTTAAAAAAAGAAGAGGGAAAAAAAGAAAACCCAACTCCTATACACGTCCTAGTCTTGGCCAGCCTCCGAGGGCCTATTCTCATTCGAACAGTTTCCGGTCCCTCACCTACCTCCGTGAACTTGTCGGCCACCATGTACCGCACGCGCCACGACTTGTCCTCCGCGGCTTGGCGCAGGGTGGGCATCACCAGGGCCTCCAGGTCCTCCTGGGGCAGGAGCTGGGCGATGTTCACGCATGCCTCCACCGCCAGCAGCCGCACCGAGTCCTAGAGAGAGGGCGGCAGAGGCCCCGTTAGCACTAGAGTCACTTCCTGCCGCAGAGTGGGCCTCAGCCCACTGAGGGGGGGAGAGAGGGGCCGGGAGCAGCACCCACCTGCTCGTCAGAGGCCAGGTTGGAGAACATGGGGATGATCTCGCTCTTGACGTTGTCCAGCTCCAGCACCTTGGCAAACTCCCCCAGCTTGGAGGCTGCGGCCCGCCGCACCATGGGGGTGTCATCTGAGCACAGGTTCCGGAAGTACCTGGGGGCCGGGACGGGATGGGGCTCAGGAGGAGTCCCTGGGACTTAGGGGAGCAGACAGCATGGCAGAGGAGACAGCAGACTGCAGCGGGTCCTGATCTGCCTGGTGAGCTTGGGCAGTGACCGGACCTACCCCACAGGGCACTGTGAGGTCTAAATGAGTTCCCATGTGTGAGCACGTAGCAGCCTGTCCGTCTGCACACACGTCTGTGGAGAACGGTAGGTGCTGATTACATTATGACCACATCAAACTGTGCAGCTGAGATGCGGGTCTAGGCCACTCAAAGTTTTTACTTTTCAGCAGCGGCTGCTCCTCTTGGAGGCGCAGGGGGCCGAACACACATCTCTAAGCACACGTGGGCAGCTGTCCACCAGTACTCTGGGTAAGTACGGGCTCAGGGCCTGGGCTTGCTGCTCAAAAAGTGCGGCCGAAACAGGTTTGGCTCAGTTGCTAGAGGGTCGGCCTGCGGACCGAAAGGTCCCAGGTTCAATTCCGGTCAAGGGCATGTACCTTGGTTGTGGGCACATCCCTAGTAGGGGGTTTGCAAGAGGCAGCTGATTGATGATTCTCTCATCGATGTTTCTAACTCTCTATCCCTCTATCTCTTTATAAAAAAAATCAATATAATAGTGGAGGAGGCTTCACTATTTTTTTAAAAAGTAAGTGTGTGGGGAATGGTGGGTAGGCGGAAGTTCAGAGGGAGGGGCAAGCCCTTAGCCATGTTTATTCATTCTTCCCAGAGGCAAGTCCTTCCTGCGAGGAGTTCCCTGGGGCACCAGGCGAGGGGTGGAGAGCGAAGGAGGCTTCCCAGGGTCTGGGCCGAGGGCAGGCCTCAGACTGCATCGTGGTCACTTGTCCATGCCTTTAGGTGCCAGCTTCTGGTAAGCACTTTATAGGCGGGAATTCTTTCCTCGCAAGAACAAGGGGAGGAAGGAATTGTCATTATCTCTATTTCCTAACTGAGCAAGTGGCAGTGCCCGTGGTGACACGGATTCTTCAAGGGGCGGGGGGATGGGGAGAGCTCAGGGGTGTCTGGGACTCGGAGGCCTCAGGGCCGGGGCTTGAGAGAAGCGAGCCAGGCGGAGGGGGAGGCTGAGCTCCAGGGGCCACGGCTGGGACTCACTGTCGAAGCTCCGCCTTGACGGCGCTGGACACGCGGGGGTAGCAGACGGAGAAGAGGCCGCAGGCCGAGGTGCGGGAGGTGAACCAGTCGCCGCCCGCCAGCCGCTTCACCAGGGGCACGAAGTGGGCCTCCAGGTCGGAGGGCGAGTGTTCATGGGAGATGGCCCGCAAGGACTCCACCGCCTTGTCCCGCACCACCGTCTCCTCCACGGTGGCCAGCGACTCCAGGGGTGGCTGCGGCACAGAGCACGAGGTCACCAGATGCTCCCTCCCCAGCACCTCCAGCACTGGAGCCCCACCCCCCCAGCCCCTCCGTGGGCTCATTTCTAACCCTCTGCCCACAACCCTTGCTCATGTGTGTGCAAGGAACAAACTGCACAATAGCCATTTCTCCTTTTTTCATAACTTGTCAAAATCCAGGTTAATGCCTCCTCCTCCAGGCGGCCTTCCCTGACCACTCCTCCATCCCATCTATGCTGGGTCAGGTGTCTCCTCTGAATTCTAAAGGCTCCAGCTTCCCTCTTTCCCAGCTCTGAGCAGCCTGTGAAGCAACCAGGGGCCCTCTGAGAGGAGTACAAAGGGGAGGTCATGGTTAAGAGGCAGGGGCGATTCACTCAAACCAGTCTGTGCCTCAGTTTCTCCTCTGTGAACGGGAAAATGCCCCTCACTGTGAGAAGCGATGGGTCGCTGTAGGGCCTCAGGATGTCTGTGCTGGGCAGTCCCAGAAATCACATGCAACTACCCCCCTTCCGTGTCCCCCCTCCTCCACACCCGAAGGAAGCGTGCAATGACTGGGGGTTCACTCACTGAGAATGTTCTATGGGAAGACCCTGACCTGGCTGGGGAAGGACCCCAGTTCTGGCTCCCGGCAAGTCTGAGTCTCTCCCCTATCTGGAGCCCTGGGGCTCTCAGCAGTGTTTTCTGAGAAGCTGCTGAAAGCTAAGCATTCTCTCCTCTGAAAAACTGACAAAGGCCAGGCTGCAGAGCTCCATGGCGGTCAAGGGCCCCTTCCAGGCTGGTCCTCGGACTGCCCACTCCCCATGTTAGGTGCACTGTTCTATGTAAAATCCGAACAATCCCGTTCACATATAATGCTCTGTGTACACAGATAAAAGCTCAGATACCAGCATGAAGGGCAATTACTACACCTCTTGACTTAATGCTGTTTGGAAAAAAACTATCACATTTGCTGAAATCCAAGACACCAACGATTCTAAGAAGCACGTGTTATACAGCACTAAACGGAAGAAAGGCTGCTGACAGTAAGTAAGACACCAAGAGGAACCTTTGTAATAATATGAACAATAAAGATTGATTTAAAAAATAAATAAATAAAATAAAATTTAAAAAAAGATTAAAAAAAAAAAGTAAGACACCATCTAGCGCAGAAGCCAAGTATGACATAGGGGTTTAGAAACAATGAAATACAGAATTACTGGGAGGAATGCAATGGCCCAGGGGCCTGAGGAACAGAGAAAACCAAGGGCCTGGGCCCTCCAGGGTGCTTTCTTCCCAGACCATGGCCTGGAGTACCTCCCAGAGGCCAACGGGGTCCTCCCTTCTCCTCTCCCAACAGCAGTTAACGTTAGTATCTGACCCGTCTCTATGGCCCTGGCCACCACCGAGCACAGGGTCAGACTGGCAGGCAGTGGGGTAGGGGTCTGGGGGAGACTCAAATGGACATACTTGGAATCCCAGCTCTGCCATGTGCTAGCCGTGCCACCTTGCACTAGACACCAACCTCTGGGCGCTCTGCTAGCTCACCTATAAGAAGGAAACTCTCGCCCTAACCGGTTTGGCTCAGTGGATAGAGTCGGCTTGTGGGCTCAAGGGTCCCAGGTTCGATTCGGGTCAAGGGCATGTACCTTAGTTGCGGGCACATCCCCAGTTGGGGGTGTGCAGGAGGCAGCTGGTGGATGTTTCTCTCTCATGGATGTTTCTAACTCTCTATCCCTCTCCCTTCCTCTCTGTAAAAAAATCAATAAAGTAAATTAAAAAAACAACAACAAAAAACAGGAAACTCAAAGGGTGGACATGGCATAACACATGGCATCATGACAGTGGCAGCTAACACCTGTTAGTATTACTATGTGCCTAGTACTGTGCTAAGGTGCAATTATAAAGATAAGGGTTAATGACTTCCATTTAGAGATGAGCAAAGGACAGAGAGGTTAAATAATTTTTACAAGTCACACAGTGGTAGAAGCTAGCCTGACTCCTAACCCAAAGCCCAGGCTTGTTGGACTAAAGTAAATGTCCAAAGTGCACCTATTCTGAGGAGACGACTCCCAAGCACCTTCATATTCTCCCGTCGCTGACCCCCAAGGGAAGGCAAGAGCACTCCCCACCTCCAGACTCACCAGCAGGCAGTGCACGTACTCCGGGCCTCCGACCAGCGTGGTGAAGGTTCCCAGCTGTTCCGCCAGGGCCAAGAGGACCTCATCCTCATCGTAGATGGTGTCTGTGGGACCAAAACAGACTCTGTGCCAGTCCCATCCAAAGTCTGACTCCAGCCCCAAGAAGCCAAGCTGGGAACACGCAGTCTCACACTGCTTCTTAAACCATGGGCGCTCACTGCCCCCACCCTCCACCTGGGCTGGCACAGAGATCAAGGCATGGGCCTGGGTCGGATGACAGGGCACATGCCCGGGTTGCAGGCTTGATCCCCAATGGAGGGCGTACAGGAAGCAGGCCATTGATAATTCTAATCATGGATGTTTCTCTCCTTCTCCCTTCCTCTCTGAAATCAATAAAAATATATGTAAAAAAAAAAGTCTTATAAAAACAAAAGAAACTACTCTTTCCTCATGCTAAACCTCTGTCCTGATGCTAAACTGAAAGCCATTCTCCTCCAGCTCCATCCTATCTTCCCTGAGGTGGTGGGAACTGCTGTATCCTTAGCATCTATGCAGCATCCTAACTTTCTGAGGTTAAGCCAGGCCTAAGGCAATCCAGCCGGACTACATTTCCCAGGCTCCCTTGCAGCTGGCATGGACATGTGACTACACTCTGAACAATAGGGTGGGAGTGGAAATGGTGGGTTCCAGCTCTGAGTCACCTCCTTACACAACCCTCTCAGGGTGTCCTCATTTATATATGCTCATCCCCATTTTACACATAAAAACTACTGGGAGCCCAAGCCACAGGCTCAGTGGCCAGAGCGACAGTCCTTGGACTAAAAGATCTTAGGTTTATGGTACAGTGTTTCCCAAACTTTTGACATGTGTGTACCCCTTCTATAATTTTCATAACGCTGAGTACCCCTCGTACTCATGAGAACGTAGAATTAGGCACAGCTAAGCACAGTGCAGTGCATATCCCCACCAAACTCCGGTGCAACGCGTACCCCCAGAGGTACGAGAAGAGTTTGGTTTACCACACTTTGGGAAACACTGGACTCTAGGACACATACCTCGGTTGCAGGCCGCAGACCCCAGTCGAGGCGCATGCAGGGGGCACCAATTTATGTGTTTTTCTCACATCCATGTTTATTTCTCTCTCTCCCCCCCCTCCTTTCCACGCTCTTAAAAAAAAAAATTAATGGAAAATATCCTCCAGTGAGGATTAACAACAACATAAAAACACTATACAGAGAGTGTCACTCAGCTTCTAATGGTTGGGGCTGCATTTCACACCTGCCTAAACCTGTCTCCAGACCCCTGCCCCTAACTTTCCAGATCATTCCTTCAGAGAAGGACTGCACTCCTCCTCACAGACTCTGCGCACCCACGATGTCTAGCAGAGGCAGACACTTCCAAACGACCTGGTACATCCACAGCGAGGCCCCTCACCCCGCAGGCACCGCCCTGCCAGCCCCCTCCCCACAGGCCAGGAGGCAGTGTTACCTGTCAGGAAGGGCAGCAGCTCACTGCGCGTCCTCTCCACGCCGAGGGCCAAGGCAATGGTGGACAGCTTCTTGATGCTGTTGAGGCGAAGCTGTTGAGAACAAGAAAAGGAGGGGAGAATGTGAGCAAGCCCAGCGGTAAGAGAGTCCGACAGCCCCTGAAACTAAGCGTGTGTGAAGATGCCAAATAATAACTGGCAGACACCTACCAAGTGCCTCTGTGACCTTGAGTCGTGTAGTCAGCATGGGAGCAACCCCTCAGCAAAGCAGCTTTGGGGTCTCACTGAGGCGATGCCCGCTCAGCAGCCCTTTCCAATTCTGTGGAAAACCCCACCTGGCCTCCCCCCACCCCAAGCCCTCCGCTCTTGTCCCCTCTTGCAGTGGGCACTGCTGAGCACACTACACATCACAGTTTTTAAAAATATATATTTTATTGATTTTTTTACAGAGAGAAAGGGAGAGGAGAGAGATAGAGAGCTAGAAACATCGATGCGAGAGAGACATCGACCAGCTGCCTCTTGCACCCCCCCCCCCACTGGGGATGTTTCCGGAACCAATGTACATGCCCCTGACCGGAATCGAACCCGGGACCTTTCAGTCCGCAGGCCGACGCTCTATCCACTGAGCAAAACCGGTTTCAGCTACACATCACAGTTTTTAGCAGCAGCAGCCACATCACAGAGCACTTACTCTGTGCCCTCCCACTCTCAGCCTTTAACTCTCACCATAGCCCTGAGGTCAGAGGACTATAAGCTCAATTCTATAAAGCTGAAACGAGCTCAGGGAACAAGTACCTTCGAAGGGTCACCCAGCTCAGATGGCACGGAGCCAGGAATGAAACGCAGGACTGTGGGCTGACAGGGATGGATAACAGAATAAACAGCACCATAACAGTGCTATACAAACAGGAGTAGCGTTAGCAGTAGTAATAACACCACTAGTGTAACAGGCTGAACAGTGGCCCCAGAAAGACATGTGCCCGTGCGGGCCCGTGTAGTTGTGAATGTGAAGATGGGGAGCCCCTGTGAAACCAGAGAAACCTCCCCCAGCTCCTGGCACGGAGCTCATGAAGCCCGGTAATTCCCTGAGTGACCGGGCGCCTTTTGTTCTAATGAGGTCTGATGGGGACTGACCACCAGAAAGGCCAAGCCACGATTAGAACCGTGGACCTTTCAGCCACACCCTCCGTTCTCCAGAGAGGGATGGAGACTGAGTTAACGGCCATGCCTACACAACGAAGCCTCCATAGAAATTCCCAATGGTTAGGTTTTTGGGGAGCTTCCGAGGGGGTGAACACCTCCAAGCACCAGAAGGGGACACGCCCCAACTCCGAGGACAGAAGCTCCACACTCGGGGCCTCCCGGACCTCGGGCCTGTGTACCTTTGCATGTGACCGCTCACCTGCACCCTGGACCACAGAAGACATTGGTAAATGTGTTTCCCTGAGATCAGGGTACTGTTCTGGCCAATCATCAAACCCAAGGAGGGTGTCACGTCCCTCCTTGGGTCTGACGATTTGTAGTCACGTCCAGCAGAAGTTGTGGGTAATCTGAGGACTTGCCACTGGCACCTCAAGTGTGTGTATGTGGGGGGTGGGGAGAGCATGCTCATGGGACTGAGACCTTGGCCTGTGTGATCTAACTGGCTAGTGTCACACTGAACTGGAGAGGAACAGCAGGGCTCCCAGCCGGTGACACAGAGTTGCTGGCTGTGGGGAGCCCCCCTGCATGTGGTGTCAGAAGTGCTGAGTGTGACAGTGAGAGAGTAAAGGAGGTACACAGGAAGAGCGAGTTTTCTCTGAAGAGGCCTAAACCCAATGACAGTGTCCTCAGAAAAGAAGACACAGAGACACAGAGAGCCAAAACCGGTGTGGCTCAGCGGATAGAACATCAGCCTGTGGACTGAAAGGTCCCAGGTTTGATTCCGGTCAAGGGCATGTACCTTGGTTTCGGGCACATCCCTACTAGGGGGTGTGCAAGAGGCAGCTGATCGATGATTCTCTCATCGATGTTTCTAACTCTCTATCCCTCTATCTTCCTCTCTGTAAGAAATCAATAAAATATATATATATTTTTTTTTAAAGAGAGAGACAGAGAGGGAAAGGCCAGTGAAGACAGAGGATGAGCCCACAAACCAAGGCATGTCGAGTTGCCAGCAGCCACCAGAAGCTAGGAGAGGGGCCTGCGTTTCCTTGGAGCCTCCATTTGGGACCTCATGGGATCCTCCGGATGCAGAAAGGTAAGCACAACTGACACCCCCATTCCCTGCTGTGCGAAGTGAACTCCTCCCCGTTTCTCCAGCTTGACAAAGGGGAGGAGCCCCTCCCTGGCTCACAGGGCCGTCGCCAGAATGCAATGGGACACGCTCACGAGCACGCCACTGCCGGGTACAGTGGGAACTCTCTTCCTGGAAGGAGAAGCAGGCAAGAAGGGACCGGGCCCCTCAGCCTGTCCTTTCCTGGGCCCAATGGGACTGTGGAGAGGTGTGCCAGGGACACATCAAGTAAGTTCCCTTTAAAAAGCCCTTAGGGCCCTGCTGGCATGGCTCAGTGGCTGAGCGTCAATCTATGTATGAACCAGAAGGTCATAGGTTCGATTCCCGGTCAGGGCACATGCCTGGGTTGTGGGCTCAATCCCAGCCGATCAATGATTCTCTCTCATCATTGATGTTTCTCTCTCTCTCCCTCTCCCTTCCTCTCTGAAATCAATAAGCATATATTTTAAAAATAAAAATCCCTTTGGGATCACAGACAATGAGGAGAATCTGATGAAATGCAAAGGTGGCCTCCAACACCCCCCCCCCCCCAACACACACATTTTTTATAAGACATCACGTCGTTTTTGGACTACCAGGGCTTGAGGGGGTCCAAACACTCACCTTCCTGACTGTAAAAGGGCCTCGATGAGATTAATATTACAAGGTCTGCAACTTATTTTCAGCCAAAAAATAAAACCAAGGACTTTTTAAAAACCTGAACATGGTGAACACTAACAGCAAATCCGGCAGCTAAGTGTATGGCACTCACTGCGCTAGCTCAGAAGTCAGAGGCTGTCTATAAATTGCCAGCTTTGCGGGCCACAGGGTCTCTGCCCAACTACCTGACTACGTCTCTGAAGCACAAAAGCAGCCGCAGAGCCAGACATGGAAACAAACGGGCATGACTGTGTTCCAATCAAAGTTTATTTGCAAAAGCAGACAGCGGGCGGGATCTGGCCTGGGCTGCGGTTTCTGGCCCCCACTCTGTTCTTTCGGTGCTCTGTATGGATGGAGTCCTCCATAATGAAATGTCAGGGGAGCGGTGACTCAGGTGCCTATTTCTTTCCTTTGTCACTTCAAGCTGGGTCTCTGGGTTCCTCTGACAGCGGGGCTATGGGGAAACGGACACACGAGCCAGGGCCACCCCTGAGGACGGCAGGAGGGCCAGAGATTATCATCACAGGCCAGTCACAAGCAAGAGCAGCTAACAATTACCGGAAGTTTACTGTGCTTGGCAGCAGCCAAGGGCTTGGCTTGGATAATGAACATACTCTATCCTTACAACTCCGCTCTGAGGCGGGTATTATTACTATTATAGAATCCTCCTTTTAGAGGGGAGGCCGCTGATCCACAGGGAAGCTGGCACTTGCTGGAAAGCAGCAGAGCCAGGACCAAAAGCCAGGTGCCCTGACTCAAAATCTCAACATCGTGCTGTCACTCTGGAAGATGCCCAAGGGGTGGGCCCCTGAGAAACAGGCCGGGCCTGTCGTGGGGCAGAGCCCCTTCCTCCCCCCGCCCTCCTTGGAGAGCCCAGCTCGGATTTCATGAAGAGCATCTGCTGCTTCCTTCAGCAAAGAGGGCGCCATACACGCTTATGAAAGGCAGGAGCCTCCCTGCCTGTGTTCAAGGCTAAGCTGCTTTGCATATTAGTTGTAGGATCTGGGGCCACACTTTATACCTTTCAGAGCCTCAACTTTCTCACCTGTGAAATGGGATTATAATACCTACCCTCAGAAAGTTACTATGAGTACGAAGTTACACACTACTGGGAATACCTTAGCACCAGACGTAGATCAGCAAGGGCAGCATCCTGGTTTTGTTTGGGCTCCAAAGAGGGCACCAGTGGCAGTTGGCTAGCTTTCCACCAAGGTCTCTTTTCCCTTCTCCCATAGTGACAGAATAAAGACGGGGGACGGAGGGACGGACGGACACACACGGGACAAAAGACAGCAAATATTTCCATAGCACTTACTATGTGCCAGACACTGTTCCTGATGTGCCAATGTTTTAACTCATTTTATCCTCAAAATAACTGCGAGGTAAATACAGGATCGCCCATTTTATGGCAGAGAAAAGGAAGGCACGGCGAGGTTAAGAAACCTCACACACTCGTAGGTGGCAGAACTGGGATCTGAACCCTAGCCAGCTGGCTCTTAACCAGTAACCACCAACAATCTGTACTTCTGGTGTGGTTTTTTTAACGAGGGAGGGAGAGATAGCGGGGGGGGGGGGGGGGGGGGAGCTCCCATGGTCCTCTTTAGTAGGTCTAATGTCGACCAGAAGTTTGCACTAGAAGGGAGCATGAACACTAGAAGTATCTGCAGCGGTTGAAATGAGCTAGGGACAGTGTCATGATTTCCACTGGTGGCAGTCACAGGTTTGCTAACACTACTTACAACATGCTCTTGTAATACAAGAGTTCATAATAGAAGTTACGTTTGAATTAGACTTTAGTGAAAATAGAGATGTTACTGTCTCATCCAAATGCATGGGCCTGCCCTGGGAACAGAGATGGGAGCTGTCCACTGGCTGTGCTGCTGCTCCAACCCTTGCTTTCCAGCTGCGCACGTGACCCCGACCTTCCCCCCCCCCCCCCCCCCAAAGGCATTTCCGAATCCCCTTTGCATCGGGATGTGACCAGGAGATTAACGTCTGGCCAAGGAACTCCACGTGGGAATGGGTGTGTGACTTCTAGGGAGTGTCCTACGGGGAGACTGGGGGACAGCCTTTCCCCTCCTTTCTGTCGGGAATGGAGCTATGGTGGCGGGGGCTTTAGCAGTCATCTGGAGACCTTGAGGTAACCTGGGGGTGGGGAGGGCAGAATGGAGGACATGCAAGCCTGACACCCTGACACCACAGACACCCTGACACCCTGACACCACACCATTTCGGCGTGGCTTGCCACCAGACTTTTTTGTCCCCCCCCCCAGAGGATGGGAGAGGGAGAGATAGAAACATCAAAGAGAGTCATTGATCAGCCCTAACTAGTTTGGCTCAGTGGATAGAGCGTCGGCCTGCGGACTGAAAGGTCTCAGGTTTGATTCCGGTCAAGGACATGTACCTTGGTTGCTGGCACATCCCCAGTAGGGGGTGTGCAGGAGGCAGCTGATCTATGTTTCTCTCTCATCGATGTTTCTAGCTCTCTATCCCTCTCCCTTCCTCTCTGTTAAAAATCAATAAAATATATTTTTAAAAAGAGAGAGAGAGAGAGAGAGATCGATCAGCTGATTCTTGCATGCCCAACACTGGGGACCAAGCTCACAACCTGGGCATGTGCCCTGACCAGCAATCGAACTGTGACCTCCTGGTCCATAGGTCCACGCTCAACCACTGAGCCACACCAGTCAGGCACCAGACTTTTTGATCATGAGTCAGAAATAAACTTCAAGCTCACTGAAGCCTCATTTATTTAGCACTTTCCTATGACTTACAGCCAAACCTAATTCCAACTAGCTCAGCACATGACCTCGTTCTGGACAGAGACATTAAGAGCATGTCGGCCGAAGAGCTTCCAGGAAAGATTTCCCTCCTGGACCAGAGGGCGGACACGGAGCACTCTGCCCTCGCATGGCCCCTGCTTTCAGCGAGGAGACGCTGTGGCACGCTTGTGACCACAGGAAGCAGGTGGAAAGGGCGCACTCCGACCCAGTTATGTAACATCCTTGTTAGCAATTACGGGAAAATGAACTTCACTTGTTTCCGTGGCCATGGCGGGGTCCTCTGTAACATTTCTGAGATAGAGTAGCTATTCATATCACTAAGAAGCCTGACCACTGAAAGAGTGCTTGCTGTCTGAAGCTCCGGACTTGACACATATTCTCTCTTCATACCACCTGTGGGTTTACTTCACAGCCCAGGAAACTGAGGCACAGAGAGGGAAGGCAGGTCACCTAGCGAACTTGGGTCGGAGCCTGGGACATGGACCCATGTTCCTTATCATCATTTTACCAACGTCTTTTCTGGTTTAAACTCTCGGAGGGCAACCTCATTTCTAGTTGTGTTTCCCCAAGTACCCAGGCACTCTATAAAAAGGCGTGGGAGCCTGGCGCGCCCTGTTTCTAAGATGTGGACATGGCCTGCTATTGCCAGGTCTTACACAGCGGCTAGTGACTGTGAGTTTTTACAAATCATTTAATCCTCACAATAACCTGGCCTCGTGAGTCTTCTACCCTTTTTCCCCCCCATTTAACAAGAAAACCAAGACCCAGCCAAAACTGGTTTGGCTCAGTGGATAGAGCGTCGGCCTGCGGACTGAAGGGTCCCGGGTTCGATTCCGGTCAAGGGCATGTACCTTGGTTGCGGGCACATCCCCACTAGGGGGTGTGCAGGAGGCAGCTGATCGATGTTTCTCTCTCATCGATGTTTCTAACTCTCTATCCCTCTCTCTTTCTCTCTGTAAAAAATCAATAAAATATATTTAAAAAGAAAACCAAGGCCCAGGTTGAGTAACTCCTAATGTGGCCAGACCCCGGTCTGCCTCCTGCCTCCTCCCTCGGAACTGCCTTCTGTACCTCACCTGCCTCCAGGCCTAGAGTTCCTTTAGGGATGGAGCAAGGGACCACAGCCAAAAATGCAGGCAGCTTCCGGCAGGTGCAAGAGGCAAGACAACAGATTCTCCCCTACGGACTCCACAAAGGAAGCAGCCCTGCCAGCACCTACATGACAGCGCAGTGGGCCCATCAGACTCCTGATGCCCAGAACGCTGAGGTCATCCATTGGAGTCCTTTAAAGCCCCTCGCTTTGCCTGAGTCTCCTGGACCAGGGCTTCTCTCAGTCTCACCACTGAGGACATTTGGGGCAGATGATTCTTTGCTGTGGGGGCTGCCCTGTGACCTGTAGGAGGCTGAGCAGCTTTCCTGACCTCTATTCACCAGAATCCAGTAACGCTCCCCCAGTGTGACCGTCCAAAATGTCTCCAGACTTCACCAAATGCCCCCGGGGGCCAAAACCATGGTCATGACCTGCCTGCTCTCTCCTCCTGGCTGGCTCTTCCGGAGCTGTGTCCTCCAGGTTCCCTCTTAATGTCTGCATCCTCACAGGGGCCTCCCCGGACTGGCCACTGTGCCTGCTGGGTACTCTGCCCGGACAGCCTCGTGGCTCCCTCCCCTGCCTCCTCCTTCAGGTCTTTGCTCCGACGTCACCTTCTCAGCAAGGCCTTCCTTCACCGCTCTTGAAAGCTGCACTCCCAACCCCTTTCCATTTAAAAGTATATATATATTTTTTTTTATTGATTTTTTTACAGAGAGGGATAGAGAGCTAGAAACATTGATGAGAGAGAGACATCGATCAGCTGCCTCCTGCATACCCCCTAACAGGGATGTGCCAGCAACCAATGTATGTGCCTTGACCGGAATCGAACCTGGGACCTTTCAGTCCGCAGACCAATGCTCTATCCACTGAGCCAAACCGGTTTCGGCGCCCTCTCCATTTTTCTCCTTAGCACTTACCCCCATCTAACACATAGCCCATTTTACTGATTCATCGTGTTGTTCGTGTCTGTTCCCCTCACTACAAGGTAACTCCAGAGGCCAGGAGTCTGCCTGGTTCCCTGTGGCTAGAACAGTGCCCTAAACAGAGAAGAGCGCCCCCCCCCAAAAAAAAATATTCACTGAGTCACTATCACAACATCCTCCTGTTTCCTTCCCATCACATCTCACGTGTGATTAATGTATTCCACTGTTTCACCTGACTCTTGTGTAACAGCTACTGATGTCACCACCAGATCCTCAGCACCGTGCCTGACATGTGGCAGGTGTCCCATGACAAAGGAGGTCCATACAGCGGCCCTGGGAACTAGGCAATTAGCTCCACCGGAGAGAAGAGGAAACCAGGGCTCAGGTGTCCATGATGAGAGAAGAGCCGGCTGGCAGCACAACCCACAGCCTGTGTAATTCCAGAACCCCGGCGAGCGGCTGGGGCCCGGGAAGATGGGCTCAATTTCGTAAAACAGGGAAACTGAGGCCCAGAGGGCGGATGGGACCGCTTGGTCCACCATGCTCAATAACGAGAGCTATCCAGATAGCATTGTGGACATGTACACAAAAGGAACCATTTGACATTGAAACTGGGTCTCAGAACTGGGTTGGACACTGACATTGGGACTCAAGCGTTTTATTATTATATGTTTATTTCTAGTCTACAGTTGCAATATTTTTTAAAGAAAAAAAATGGGGGGGAAATAGATATAGAGATAAAGAGCCATTGAACAGACTGTCAAACTACAGGGGGAAAGCAGGGGAGGTTAGGGGGATGGAGGGGCTGTAAGAGATCAACCGAAGGACTTGTATGCATGCATATAAACATAACCAATAAAAAAATGAATAAAAAAATAAACATAACCAATGGATACAAGACACGGGAGTGGGGGGGTTCAGGTGAAGGCATATGCTGGGGGGTAGGGGAGGCTGGGAGGAGGTCAAGTAGGAAAAAAGGGGACATATGCACTTCTATTTGTAATACTCCTAACAATAAAAATTAAAATAACAATAATAATTAGCGCTAACCTTTATTGGGCTCTTTTATGAGACCAGACACCGTTCCATTACAGGTGCATTAACACGTTCAGTCCCTCGCCCATCCCGCCAGGAGGCCGGGACTATGATTGATTGATTATTAGCCAACACTTTTGGGGAAAGCAAGGGGTGCAATCGGCCCCAAAGGTCACGCGGCGGGTGGGCGGTGGAACTGGGTGGGCAAACCCGTGAGCTCCTCTCTCCATCCCTCGCCAGCCGGACTCAGCGACCTGAGCCGCCCTCCCTGCCCCTCGCACCGCCACTGTCAGCCCGTTTAGCCAAAAAATGCCCACGTCCCAAAAGCCGGGCGGGACTCCTCCTCTTCCATTCGTTCCTAAATTTAGCAAGATCCCCCCCCCCCTTTGAAGGTGGGGTGTCTTCGCTAGCTTCCATAAATAAACAAATAAAAAAAAAATACACAAAACCGGCACAGAGGAAACAAATTGGGGAGACAGCCTTCACCTCTGAGTCCCGATTTGGGGAGCTGACCCCACAAGCGCCGAGGCCCAGTCGCCAAAACCCCAGAAGGAGAAAAAAAAAAATCCTATCCGGGTCGGAACCATCGGGCGGCCCTCCCCCATTTGGACCTACACCCACAGGTTCATTCAGCAGCCGAATCCCCCTCCCGGAGGGCGGTGGCCACCCCGGGCCCCCGCGGCCGCGCGCACTGGGGCAGGCCCGGGAGGGACCCTCCGGGGTGGCCCTCGCTCCCCGCCCTCCGCCGGGCCCTCCCCCAATCCCGGGCGCCGACTCATCGATCCCCGGCGCCCGGACAGATAAGAGCTGGACGCTGATTGGCCACCTCCCCCTTCCGCCACTCCCAGCGAACACCGAGCCTCCTCCGCGAGGGTCGCCCGTGCCCCCCGGCCCCCCAGCCCGCCGCCCCCGAGTCTCCCGTGGCCTCCGGACCTGAACGTCCTCATTGCGGAGCTCGTCTATGAGCACCGCGATGGGGTAGAGAGAGTCGTCGCCATCGGCCGCCGCCATCTTGGCTCCGTCCCGTTCCTGTCAGACTGCGACCAGCGCTGTGCTGAATCCGGGCTGGGCGGGGCACGGCGGGGAGGAGGAGGAAAGGCGAGCGTGGGGGCGCACGAGCCACTTTACAGGGGCTGCCCTTCGGTCCCCGCCCGCCCCACGCTGGGCCGAGCCCGAGTTTCTTTGGTCCGGAACACGGAGTCCCCGCCCACTTCCGACTCTCTATTGGTCGGAGGCCTGCCAGAGCGAGGGGGTACGAAGCGGAAGTGCGTGGTATCTCAGCGACAGACGTGGTACCCGCCTACGTCGCCACTAACAACGGCCGAGACGAGCAGTTGCTTTAGCCAATGAGGGGCAGGATTGGGAGGCGTCCGAGGCTGCCCTTCTGCCAGGCCCGCAGGAAAGCTCGTGCGCCTGCGTCACTAGGAATGCATGACATCATATGGGGAACTGAGACTGTCTGCAGGTTTTGGCTTGTGAGGTCGCTGCTTCGCAGGCTGGCGAGGCTCCCTGCGTCTTTGTGTCACAGGAGGAGGATGTGAGTTTTAAAAAAAATATATGTTATTGATTTTTTACAGAGGAAGAGAGAGGACAGAGAGCCAGAAACATTAATAAGAGAGAAACAAAAAATAAAAAATAAAAAAATAAGAGAGAAGCATCCATCAGCTGCCTCTTGCACACCCACGACTGGGGATGTGCCCGCAATAAAGGTACATGCCCTTGACCGGAATCGAACCTGGGACTTTTCAGTCCACAGGCCAACGCTCTATTCACTGAGCCAAACCGGCCTCGGCGAATGTGAGTTTTTGATTTATGCCAAGGCCCAGAGAAGGGTGGTGATTTGTCTTAGTATCAAGATTAAAAATTAAGCCCCAGGAAGCATCCGATTCCTGAACCCTCTCTAGGCACATCTGCGTCCCCGCTTATTAACACTTGGGCGCTCCTGGAAACTTAGAACCGTCTGAGCAGCAAACACGTCTTGCTTTTTTAAAAAATTCTTTATTTATTTTAATATATTTTATTGATTTTATACAGAGAGGGAGAGAGATAATAGAGTTAGAAACATCGATGAGAGTCATTGATCAGCTGCCTCTTCCACACCCCCTACTGGGGATATGCCCGCAACCAAGGTACATGCCCTTGCCCGGAATCGAACCTGGGATCCTTCAGTCCCCAAGCCAACGCTCTATCCATTGAGCCAAACCGGTTTCGGCTATTTATTTTTTCTTTATTGGTTAAGGTATCACATATGTGTCCTTATCGCCCCATTGCCCCCTCCCCACCCCCACTCCCATTGTGCTTTCTCATGCCAACAAGCCTTGCCCAAACCGTACCTCCTACTTGGAGAGCTTTCCCTATTCAATTCTCAGATCTTGACATAAATTCTCTCCTTCCCACCCACTCTCCCTTTGCCCCCCGCCCCTTCCCTGTCTCACCTCAAGCCCCAGAGCCAAATAATCCCGCCGCTTTCTCTCGGTCTTCCAAAATTCCCAGCCCTGGAGCTTTGGCTGTTACTGTGCCTTTAAGCCTGTCTCCTTTCACAAATTGGGAGCAGGGACAACACGCCCCGAGCCTGCACTTTTAGGACCACGCTCACGGAGGGAGTTGGGAGATGGGGAAGGCGAGGCCTGGGATACCCCTTCCCCTTTATTCTGACACTTGAAGGGCAATCTTGAGTAGGGCTCCTGGACAGGTCTGAATAGCTCAAGCATCTTTTCAAAAAAAAACCTCAGCCCAGCCTTAGCTGGTTTGGCTCAATGGATAGAGGTCTGCCTGTGGAACAAAGGGTCCCGGGTTCAATTCTTGTCAAGGGCACATGCCTGGACTGAGGACACCATCCCCAGTGTAGCAGCCAATCATTCTCTCTCATCATTGATGTTTCCATATCTCTCTCCCTTCCTCTCTGAAATCAATAAAAATATTTTTAATATGTATATATTAAAGGAAAATTTTAATTTATATTAAAATAAAATAAAAATAACCTCTACCCAGTCTAGTTAGAAAACTCCCAATAAAGGGTGGAGGGGCTTACATAATTCAATCTTTGACCTCCTTATTGCCAGGATCACCCCCAACTCACCAGCTCATCCAAACAATGGTTCTTTATAGCTAAGGATGCACTTTACATATCTTAACATTTCATTTGTCAATTATATCACAATAAAGCTGAACAAAAAAGTCACAGGTGTGCCATGCAGAGGGTGCCTCTGCATCAGAAACAGGTTTGATCAGCACCTTGATTCTGGTCAGACTTTCCAAGAACAGGCCCTTTCTATCGACATCTAAATGAATGACCCAGTCCTGACCTGTTTCGCTCAGTGGATAGAGCGTCAGCCTGTGGACTAAAAGGTCCCAGAGAAGGGTGGTGATTTGTCTTAGTATCAAACCGGTTTGGCTCAGTGGATAGAGCGTCAGCCTGAGGACTGAAGGGTCCCGGGTTCAATTCTGGCAAAGGGCATGTACCTTGGTTGCGGGCACATCCCCAGCAGGAGGTGTGCAAGAGGCAGCTGGTCGATGATTCTCTCTCATCAGTGTTTCTAACTCTCTATCCCTCTCTCTTCCTCTCTGTAAAAAATCAATAAAATATATTTTAAAAAATAATAATAATAAATAAATTAAAAGGTCCCAGATTCTATTCCGGTCAAGGGCATGTACCTTGGTTGTGGGCACATCCCCGGTAAAAGGTGTACAGGAAGCAGCTGATGAATGTGTCTCATAGATGTTTCTTTCTTTCTTTTTTTTTTTTTTTTTTTTGAGAGAGGAATAGAGAGTTAGAAACATCATCAATGAGAGAGAATCATCAAACAGCACACCCACTATTGGGGGTTGTGCCCGCAACCAAGGTACATGCCCTTGACCGAATCAAACCCGGGACCTTTCAGTCCCCAAGCTGATGCTCTATCCATTGAGCCAAACCAGTTTCGGCTCTCATAGATGTTTCTAACTCTCTTTCCCTCTCAGTTCCTCTCTGTAAAAAAAATAAACAATTAAAAAAAAAAAGAGTGACCCAGACAATTATTACAGAACTGCAATCAGTTTCCACAGTTCTTGGCCCCAAAGTGGGGTGCCCATAATCTGCCACTTTTCCAAGTAGAACACTAAACTAGGCCACTGGCAGCAGTCCAGGTGCCTGAGAACTGACCCGTGATGGAAACAACCACATCAGATTTCAGTTCTGCGCAGGTGGAGTGAGACTGCGCAGCCCCAGGGCCCACAGGGTACCAGCAGGTTTCAGCTTAAGCCACCAGTGAACTAGGGCCCTGCACATAGGGGTTCCCAGTGCCAGTGGCTTTGGCTAAAGTGTGGAGCATAAAATTTCCTCCATAAAGGACAACGACCACATGTTCCTGTAAAGTCAAGGTATTGCTGGGCCAGTGTAGCTTCATTCTTTCCCTGCCCCCCCCACCAATGTTTCATTTTTTTAAAAATATATTTTATTGATTTTCTACAGAGAGGAAGGGAGAGAGATAGAGAGCCAGAAACGTCGATGAGAGAGAAACACCGACCAGCCGCCTCCTGCACACCCCACACCGGGGATGCGCCCGCAACCAACATACATGCCCCTGACTGGAATCGAACCTGTGACCCTTCAGTCCGCAGACCGACGCTCCACCACTGAGCCAAACCGGTTTCGGTGTTTCATTTTTTAAATTGATTTTTAAAGAGAGAGGAAGGGAGAGGGATACAGAGATAGAAACATCAATGGGAGCCTGACTGGTGTGGTTCAGTGGTTGAGCGTCGTCAACCTATGAAACAGGAGGTCACAGTTCAATTCTCAGTCAGGGCACAGGCCTGGGTTGTGGGCTCAGTCCCCGGTGTGTGCAGGAGGCAGCCGACCAATGATTCTCTTTCATCACTGATGTTAATATTTTCTCTCCTTTTCCCTTTCTCTCTGAAATTAAAAAAAAAAAAAAAAAAAAAAAAAAAGTGTACCTGTTCCCTGGCTGGATGTATTCAATGGTTAGAGTGTTGGCCTGTGAAGGGTATCTGGCTTGATTCCCAGTTAAAGGTACTTACCTAGGTTTGCTCCCTTCCCCCCCCCCCCCCCCCCCGCAGGAAGCGTGCTGGAGGCAACCTGTCTATGTGTGTCTCGCCCATAGATGTTTCTGTCTCTTTTCCCCGCTCCTCCGCCCTCCCTACCTTCCACTCACTCTGAAAAAGCAATGGAGCCCTAACCGGTTTGGCTCAGTGGATAGAGCGTCGTCCTGCAGACTGAAAGGTCTCTGGTTCAATTCCAGTCGAGGGCATGTACATTGGTTGCGGGCACATATACATTGGTTGCAGGAGGCAGCTGATCGATGTTTCTCTCTACATTGGTTGCGGGAACATGTACATTGGTTGCAGGAGGCAGCTGATCGATGTTTCTCTCTCCATCGATGTCTCTAACTCTCTATCTCTCTCCTTTCCTCTCTGTAAGAAAAATCAATAATATATATATATATATATATATATATATATATATATATTTTTTTTTTTTTTTTTTTTTTTTTAAAGAAGAGAGAACCCTCACCAGACCATGCTGCACCCTGACCTCAGACTTCCATTCTCCAGAACTTTGAGATAGAATTATTGTTACCAGCAACTCTGTGAAGTTGCGTTACAGCCGGGCAGACTGACACGCTTCCCTCTGACACGAGGAGACGCACAAAGGCTGTTCATATGGGGGTCCGTCAGTGTCAGAAATGGAAAGAGGTTACTATTTTACCCCATTTGCAAGCCAACAGGGTAGCCTGCCTGTTTCAGGGATGCCGAACAAGACGTGAAACTCCTGGGACCGAGACAAAGACATTATTATTCCCAGAACAACAGGCCACAAGAGCTTCCTATTCACATCGGTTCCCATGGCTCCCATGGCCCCAGCCAGCGTGGCTCAGCATCAACTTCCGGTCAGGACACATGCCCAGGTTGTGGGCTCCATACCCGGTGGGCATACAGGAGCCAGAGAGGAGGGAGCCCAATTCTGGGGTGCATCACCCAAGAATCGCCCTCTTTCAATCCAGGGCCCCTTGGGGGATGTCAGAGAGCCAGTTTTAGCCCGATCTCTGCCGCAGGCCAGGCCAAGGGACCCCTCCGGGCCTCCAGTCCATTGGCTCCCCACTTGGGGTCTGGCTCCCCACCAGGGCCCTACCCCATTGCAGAGGTCGTGGGTCTGATCCTTACAGAAACTT